GTTATTAAACATTTATATTAATCAGTTATTGAATTAAATTATTGAATATTTAAAATCTAGGTCGACTTAATATAAATATTTTGAACTTGACACACTTCTAGTCACTATTATTCGATAATTAATTGGTAATGTACATATTCTTAAAAAATATTAAAAGAAATGTATTAATTGTATCGGAATCTTTTTAAATATCTACTAATCGATTCATTTTTTTTTAATCAAAAATAACATACCCTACTTATTAATTTAAGAATCTCGTGTATCCTATGTTTTAAATCAAAATAAAATCTATAATATTATATATATAATATTATAACATTATGTTCATTATATTAACCTATAATGTGCAAATACGAGAATTAAAGTCATAACCGAGTAACCTGACCCGATTTCATACATTTATTAATTCATCGTTTGATTATAAATGTGTTAAAAATAAAGTAATAAATCTTATAATTTCAATTCATTCCATTGTGTTTTTTGTTTATTAATTATTGAATATTTTACTTCTAATTCACCTTCTATAATTTATATTTTTTATTGATTATACGTATGAAATAATGCGATATTTGTTTATTTTTTAATTGATTTATCATCGTTGGAAATTATATAACCATCTAGTTCTATGAAATTATTTTGTACATCAAAAGAATTATATTAATTTTTGTACACTGAAATTTTTAAGACTATTTAACACATTTTGTTTATTTTTTGACGAATAATACTCAAACTAATACATGGCTTTGATAATAAAAATCATTGGTTAAGTAGAATTAAGTCAGTTTTATTTTATTCATATTATTAATATTTATCCCTTTAAATATTTTTCTATATAATATATAATAAGGATATCATCCATTAATGATTTTAAAAACTACGATTTTTGTAATTTAATAAAAAAGAATGTATCAATATTTATTCGATCATAAATCCAAATTGAACCGAAATTATTATTATCCTCATTCGAACCAGAAACGAACTTTACTAATAAATTTCAAAAGAATCATTAGTTATTTATAATAATCTATAAGTAACAAATTATTAGTTATTAACTGCATAATAATGACATGTAATATTTAGAGTTATAAACAGGGCTCATAACTTCTAGCATTTGTATATTTTTTTTGAGAGATCCTAGAAGTACCTATGTGAGCTATAAATTTGTTTCAGATAACCAAGAAGCTACATACAAAATTTTATGTTGCATATTTTTACATATTTCGGAGTATAAGTGCTATTTTGCTTTTTTTCGTTTTTTTTTTTTTGCTTAATTTTGAATTTTTACATGATTTTTATCATTGATTTTTTTAAAATATTTTTTAGTAGCCTAAAACGTTTTTTCTTAAAAATAACAAGTCATTGTAGTTATATTAATTGTTCATATTTGTAATTAATTCGCGTTAATTATTTTTTCTTCTTATATAACTTATACAATAATATCAGATAAACTATATATACGAGTTTAGGCGACACGCGACGTAGCAAGAGTGTACGATCGAAACTTCGTAATCCCATCGATAAGGAAACCTTTATAATTGTATATAATTGTAGCTTGTACAGTAGTATTTTATTTTTATAGTTTCTAGATATTCGGGTATTCCGATATCATTATCTAGATATTCCGAAATCATCATTCTCAGATTATTTACAGATTATTTTTCATTAACTTTTTGCAGTCGTTTTCAATTTTTCGTATATTATGCTATTTCGTTTCATGAATTGAGTACCTAAATTTTTTTTTTTTTAATAATAGAAGCTAAAATAATTAAATAATATAATGAATAATAATAATAAAATAATAATTTTTGTATACAAACTTTTTTTTTTCATATTTTATAGTGCATATTTAAGCGCTTATATGAATACTTTTTAGAGCATATTTTAACGTTTATAACAACCTTTTTTAGAGCTATAAGTTATGAGCCCTGGTTATAAACATTTATAGCTCACTACAGTTTTAATTTAATACTAACTAATATCTGTACCCCGAAGGTAAAGGAAACTATGTCCAATTTTGATCAGATTTAGTTTACTTCATGTACTTATTATACATTTTTCGCTCTATATTAAGGTATATAGGTATATTTCGTTTGTTTGGACACTCTAGTTGTCAAAAGTAACGGAAAGAAGACGATAGAAAATAAACCATGTTCATTTCATTTTTCAAATTTATAAATGAAAATAATCAAAAATTTGATTCCCTTTAAAATTATTATTTTGTAACATGGTTTCCTTTACTTACATCCGGGGTTCAGATGTATAAGTGAATGCATGGCAATTAATAAATTTATGTTTATTTAATTTTTATTGAAAATAAAAAATTCTATTTAAATATTTAAAAAATTACTAGTCTGATGCTTGATTCTAAATAATACTTTCTCGATTTAGTTTTGAAACTTAAACTCAGTTTTTAACATCATTAATTTATTTTCTTATTCATTTAAATACAAGTAAATTATGTTTATAGCTGAATACAGAAATAGTGGGTGATTGTAATTACTTTGTGGAGCATTTTCTCAATGTTCGAAAAATAAATTTTTTTTTAGCTATTTAATTATTTTTATATTTTTAATTATTATAGATATAAACAAATACATTTTTGTTAACTTTGGCTAGTTTCACATTTTGGAAAATAGTAATAAAATGATTACACTTTAGGTGTTCTAATAATTATTTACAAACGTTGTTGTTATTATTATTATTATTATTATTATTATTATTATTATAATTATTATTTAAAGTTAAATTAAAAATGAAATGATTTCTATTTTTTTATCTTAGAAATTTGCAGCATGGATAAAAATACAGGTGCTTATGAGGCACTTACAAAGTGCTTGAAGGCGAATTCACATCGAAGTTCTTACGACAAAGACCAAAATGAAAATAATTCCAAAAGTATTAGAGAATGCTACAGAATATGCCGCGGTACTGTTTGAAGAAATTTTAATTTTACAGTAGTTTATTTAGTAGTTAAAAGTTATTATTAGTGTATTTATCAACTACAATACTATATGACATTTTATATAAAAATAAAATTATTTTTCTGCGAATTCACGAATTTATTCCGATAGTTTTATCAGTTTTGCTTAAAATCTAGTGTTCAATTTTGGGAATATGATTATTTGTAATTTGTAAAATTTGATCGTAATATAAATAATAATTTATCATTTATAATTAAGTGTCCAAGTAATTTATTTAAACGATGTAGTACGTAGTTCGTTAACTTGAGGGGGTTGTGAGAAAGATAGGTATTTTAAAAATAATCAAACACTTATATTTTAAGACTTTTGAAAGTAATAAAATTTTATTAATTTAAACAAGAAACAATAAATTAGTTAAAATAGCTTACTACTATATAAGAAAGAACAGTTTAGATTGAGTTATGAATTATGTAGTTGCGGTGAAGTGGCTAAACAAAGTACAAGACTAGCAATTATTTATTATAAGGGTTAATGACTAACTTAACACTGTCTTACTCCTAACTACATAACTTCTACTTAACATTACTTAACATTAGGTGTCGTTCTCGTATGTATATGATGACTCCTGATGTCGATTGGTGTAGAGATATCACCTCTATCACATACTTTCAATGGTATAGAGTAATGATAACATTGATTTATTACGTAATTTGCAATATTCGGAAAAACTAAATTAGATGATATAATTGCCTTACTACGCAAATTACGGTATTCATCAAAAGTGATGAAAATATGTTAATTAATCTTCTTATATCCAATATATATTGGATATATAATAATATATATTCTTATATCTATTTTTATATAATGTAATGACGTTTTAATTATATTATTGGTATTTTGGCTTACTATACCCGTTTTTCATTCTCATTATTTATAATATACTGCATGAAAATGATAGTACAGTTTTAATAGCAAAAACGCTTGTATATAGTAAGATGAAAGATAATAAAAAAAAACTATTTCACGCTTCGATGATTGTCGAAATAAATAAGTAAAAATTATATTATATTTAAATCGTATACCACAAAGTGGACATTTTGATCTTAAAATTAATTGAGTTATTTGTAGATTATTTAAATATTATTTAATGAAAAATTAAATTTAATGTATTCAATTTTAACCAGTTGTTTTATTTAAAGTTTCTTTAATCTTGATTATGACTAGAGGTTGGTTTATATTTTCTTAACATCCTTAAAATATGATGTTTTTTTGTCGTTTGAAAAGGGCAATATATTCTCTAAATATTCTTTAAAAATACCAAATATATGATGTTTTATATCCTTAAAAACACAAATAATTTTTCAATATTCTGTAAAAAAAAAAAAATTATCATAATTACTTGGTTTAAATTTTTCATTCATTAAATTTTACTATTAATTTGATTTAAAATAACATTTTGAAAGAGAATTAGTTTTAATGCCAATTTTAACCGTACGTGGATTATCCTTAATATAGTGGTTAGTTTTTATAACAACCTAGAATGATGTAAAAGTAACTCACATAGTGAATACTGTATTTTTTAATCAATATTATCAAAATGCCGATGTACGTAATACATACATGATGCACATAAATAATTGGTAATATAATGATAAATTATTTTCTTTGAAAAATTTTTACAAAAATAAGGCTTTCAAAAATAAAAATGTTTATAAAATATTCTCAAATATTCTCTAACGTATTGAATATTCTCTACTCCCTAAAATATGCTTTTTTTATGCAAAATTAATTTTTTTCTGTGAATTCTGTGTTTCATGAATCGTTATGATATCTCACTCCCATTTAATATGTAAATTCCCACAAATTCCACAAGTATGTAAAATCATAAAAATCCTACCCCTAGGTATGACATAATATACTGGATGATAACAATCCATTAAACAAATGTATAGATTATTAAACAATAGAGAAACTGAGAGCGATCGAACAATAACTATCAACAAACTTCATATATTACATATATTAAATATTTTTGAATTTATAAAAAAATTAATCAATGATAATAATCATTTTTTTTTTTTTTCCATAAATGTACGAGTATTTAATTTCAACACTGAAGTATTACTTAGCTTACATTGCAATATTAAAAATCGATTAACTGTTAGTTACATCAGAATTTGTAAATATGTATAACTTAAATTTGTTTTCGTGTAATTGTTTGATACTACTAAAATTTCTACATAGATGACAGGTATTATATATAGGTTTATATAGGTACGTTATATAACGCCATACTCGAATGGTTTGAAATTATTTTCAAGATACTCGAAGATGGAAATTTTAGCGATCAATCCTAACAATTTTAAATTTATAATCATCGTCGTTGTATATTTGACGGAAAGGAAATCATATGTAAAAATAATTCGGTTAATTTTGATAGTTTAAACATTTGGTATGTTTTTCATGACGTAACACCTATAAATTATAAATCAATCAATGGAATTTATTTAGATGCATTAGCTATATGTATAAATTTATCGAAAATGTAGTTAAACAATAGTGTTTTTAAGATAGGGTTAAATACTAATTTACCTAAGTAATTGTATTGTCTTTGAATACTTAGTTTTGAACCTATAACATGCATTTTCAACATAATTGTAAATATTTATTTATCTTTTCATTATTAATATTTGAATACTTCAGTAAATTATAATTCACCATAATAACAGCATTACTCGTATTATAATTATTTTGTTATTATAATTATATTTTTGTTGATAAAATATTGTTGTTATTACTACAATGTGCCTAAGGTGAATACAATATGGGTTTTATGTTATAGGTACTATAATAGATAATTTAATATATTTGTTGATTACAGTTTAATGCTTCTATGTGTCATCATATGAATTTGTACATTTATTTTAATAATCAAAATTATAAAAATAATTTATTTAAGAATAACTTTACTAAAGAACATAAAAAAAATACATTTCAAAAGCAATTTTTACAATTGAAAAGTATTATAGTACTTTTAGATCTTGCTTTTTAAAACCAAGAAACTCTTTATAAAGTATTATTAATTTAGATGATTACATTTTAAACTTATATTCATGTTCCATTAGAAAAAAGCTAAAAAATATTTTAATTACTTTGATTATATTATTTTACATTAAATTTATATTTACAAAACTACTTAAAAAAAAAAAAAAGTACAAATAAATTATTTGTACTAATGGTATTTTTACACGTAATAAATAATAAAAGTGATGGAAATATTTAATTTTTACGTCTGTAAATTATATCAAATAGAAGGTTAGTCACGATAGAACCATGTAATACTGCATAATATTAACCTTTAATTTTAATATGGATGTATTATTTTGTTTCCATTTAAAGCATCATTCAAATTATTTTAAATTGTCTACAGTGAATGTAGGGACTAAATAGTTAAAGCTAAGAAATAAAAAAATTAATTAATTAACTGTATAGGATTTAATAGAAAAATTCAAAATTAATGCAATAGTTTAATAGAGAGAAATTACACTAAAAATACAATGATATTAAAACCTTATTTTCAGTAATAAGTTTTTTTTAATTTTTTTTTTAAGTTCTATGATTATTTAGAAATAAATGTATGAGTATGTCTTACCTGAGATGATATTTTGATACTTGTTTTGCCTAGATGTTTGAAAATATATTTATCGGGAGTTTAATGTTATTGAATTCTCTACTTAATTAACAACATTTGTATTTCTTTATTTTATTTTAATTATATTTTATTTCGTATAAATAAATTACTAATAGCAAATAAAGTTCATTGTTTTAATTAATATAATAGAACAACTATTATGAATGTAATTTAATAATTAATAAAAAATAAATAAAAATATATTATGTAATTAAAGACTTGAATGATGGTGTATGTGAATTTATGTGATATTATTACGAGTATTTATAATTAACGAAAGATTTTCCGTGACCCATTTCCTCACAACGTATTTGAAATTATTATTTAATAATGTACTAAAATGTCGATCAAACGAATTTCTCCAAATTAAGTTCACTATGAATCTAGACGAAATCCGGCCTTTACCATAAACCACTTAAATATAATAATAATAAAAAACATTACAAGACTTACTTAGGTATAAAATTAAATTTGAGTAAATATTGTAAGTTATTGATTTCTGTTGTTTACAAGTAACGTCAAAATATAAATTAATAGGAATTGGAGTAGTATAAAAAGTCTAATGTTTAAGTTTAATTGACTGCAGTTATAATAATATACTGACAACTTGAGATCTAATATCACAGCTTATAGGACATCGAAGACTTAAGTATTCATTTATTTTTGTTAAGTACGGACAACTGTGATTAAAAAATAATAAAAAATTATGTTTTTGAAATAAAGATATAATTTAATAAACTAAAGTATTGAAATCGTATTAATGAATTTGACAAATATTTATAAGATTTTTATGAAATTTTGGTATAGTTGTAACAAATGTTTAGAAAATTTATTTTTTAAAATATTAATAAAATATTAACTAAATAACAAAATTATGATGACTATGTCATAATATATATATCAACGATTTGTGTTGTGTGATATTTTACGTTAAACTTATTTGATTCTTCGCACAAGATATGGAAATTTTAGTTGATAAGTTATATTTTACGAACAAAATGTATTTTTGAAGTACTATGAAAAATGTTGTGTGGCCATACATTGTGGGACAAGACATAAGTATTTAAATAGATTTGATAAGATTGAAAATATTGGAATCCGGTTATTTTTAATTATTATTGAAACAAAAACAATCCCGATAAAAAAAAAAAAAAAAATTAAAATTAGAATAAATTATTAAGCAATTCGATAATACAAAAATATTCAAATGTAAACTAAAATTAAAGAATAATATTCAATGTTTGAGAATATTAAATTTGTAATAAGACTTTTTCGTTGATTTTCTATAGAATCAAACATAATTTAAAACTATTCATGTTATAATAATATAAACAAATTACTCTGATATTATTTTAAGAAAATTTACGGTTCTTAAGGAAAAATGAAATAAAATCAAATGGTAACGTGGTTTTGTGAGGACCAAAATAAAATATAAAAAGTAAATATAATAGAATATGTATAACTCAAACTATTAAAATGACTAATTTAAAAAATCCAAAGAAATACGTTGGTAAAGTTCTTAGGGTTTCGACGACTCGTCATGTATTTTGCGATGTTGTTACAAAAATATTTTCCGATTTTCACAATACTAATATTTAACACTTATAAATTTTAATAACAAACGTAAAAATATCATACGAATTTTATATTACAATAAAAATTACGTGTAAATTTCTATACTACGTGTGTCGAATAAAAAAAGAACTGAAAAATGGGTTTTTTTTGTGTTAATAACCCATGTGTAATCGAATATGTGATGTAAATTTCTATCAACAGTTGACAGCGTCTAAAATAAGTTATAAAAAAAAAAGGAAGAAAATATATGTATTAATGTCGTCAATGTAAATGAAGGTCTTGATCTTCCATAATTATGTATTCATTGGCATAAGACACGAACAATCGGTCGTTATATAAAAGCCCGTACTGTCCGTAACCGTGTCATATGTTCATCATCTTATGTTCCCTCAACAAGTCTCTACACATGCTTCGAGTGGTCGACATTAAAGGAAGTCGAGTGCAGTAGCTGTTCTATATCAGAGCTGCCTGAAGATCAAACTTCTCAAGTTTTCAACAGTTGTTTTTCTTTCGACTTTGATTTCACACAAAAACTGGCCAACAGTGTATGATACAGGTAATAATGTTTTATTTATATTTTTTCTTATCATGTCCATTCTCTATGAGGTACTACGTCAATTTATTACTATTATTTGTGTTATTATATTTATATTATTATTATTTTCGCCGTTGTTTAACATTTATTTTATAATGATGTGGAGCCATATATCACTAGACCTCATCATTATTAGCATCATTGAATTTCAATCAGAACAGAGTAGTTATAATTTAGTCTTTCATCGAATAAAACCACTCGCAACATTAATTTTCTGTTCAATTTGTTTTTTTTTTTTTTTTTTAATATATTTACAAAGAGTAAAATTGAATAAAAATAAAATTTCAAAATAATTCTATCATAAACAACGGTTAGATAATAATAGTTTTTAGATTAAAGTTCCTAAGATTCTTAGTATAATTTTAATCGAAAATTTCATTAGGTGTAAAATATTGTTAGAATATTATTTCTATGCACATTTTAGCTTAAAGGAATATTTTTTTAGTGATGATTCGTTCCGATAATTTATTATAAAATAAATAAAATTATTGCATTTCTATTATTTCAAGTGAAAATTTAAAATTGATAGTTTATTTTGCTTAAGATAATCGAATTTCGTTCTAAACATAAATAATAAAACTTGAACCATAATCATAATATAAATTTTAGGAATCACATTAGATTGAAAAACTATATTTTTAATTTTTTTAATATTCTATTAATAGTGTAAACTTATATGTATAATTTATTTTTACATTTTCGTTTGAGAAATATTGAAAAAAAAAAACTATTATACTTAAAACTTATATTATTGTTTTGTGTTTCTATTTCAAATATTAATTTTTGGTGAAGCAGTTTTTTTTTTTTTTTGTATGATTGATTGAATAATATTAATTAAAAATAATCATTGTTTTGCGTATAATATTTTGTTATAAAACTGAATAAACGTTTTGTACCAATTATTTTTTGAATTATTAAACAGGATCATTAGTTCAGTAGGTAAACAATTTTAAATATCCAATTTAATTATAAAATACAGTGAACATCATAATAAATAATATATTGAGAGTGAAATTGTACTACTACATATTAATATTATCCTTAATTACTATATAATTGTTAACAAGTTAACACTTCTTACCATAATAATCACTTTTTAATCGTCCGGTATTTATACATTGTAAATAGAATAACAAAAATAAAATATATCTCAACAACACTGTAAACTTGCATGTCAGTAAATACCAAGTAAACAATATTTGAAAGATAATGTAATAAAAATTTAATTGAGCCCGAAGATATTTACAATGAAATTAATAAACCAGTTGAACCTTAAAAATAATAAAATATGCTGTTTTAATATGATTTATATCAATATGATAAATGCTTTATTTTTGATGACTAGTCTTGAATGATTTTATATAAAAAGTTTTATGTTAATTAATATTATTACTCGATATAATTTGCTTGCAACCTCTTCAAGAGTAAATTTTGTGTTAAAAATCTTATGTAGTTTTAAACATCAAAAGTTGTTTGATTTACTTAACTATTTATTACAATCTGAATGATCTCCTATGTCATGATTATGATTTATGAGAATTTTCGGCATTAGTAGTGATCGTAGCCACATGTATTCTTTTCGTAAAACGTGATGGTATATTTTCGTGTATTCTTGAAATAAACAATTGGTGAAAAACATAATATTTTCTCGAAACGATTTCACTAAAAAAATAAATAAATAAAAAAAAAACAAAAATATCGTTAAAAATTGCGAACACCCTCGTAATCAATGTACGAAACCAAAGTGAAATTTGAAAAAATTTAAAGTAATAACCACCCCGTGTGGCGAATTATTAATATAAATTCATTATAAATCATGGACAAAATGTTTTTTTAGAATGGCGACCAATATACAGGGTGTCAACCCACTTTTCGTAATGTCGGCATTTAACATGTTTTTTTACCTGCTCACGCCGGCTATTGTGTTATGGTACATTTACTTCCGGATGTCTCGCAAGCAGCTTTACGAGTTAGCCAGTAAGATCGAAGGATCCGACGGACTTCCATTTTTGGGAAACGCATTGGACTTCATGCAAGACCCTCATAGTGAGTGACAGCGGCGTTCGACAGCGCTGCACCTGTGCATCGTGAAACAGTATATAAATAACAAATCGGTTTTTTTTTTACCTTCCACGCAGCTATTTTCAATAAAATATACGAAATAAGTTTTGAATTCGAAAGGAACATACCCTTAAAGATGTGGATTGGGCCCAGGCTGTTGGTGTTCTTGACGGATCCCAGAGACGTTGAGGTAACGTATTTTTGCACGGGTGTAATTGATGTACGATAATAATAACATACGTGAACCCGCAGGTAATTCTCAGCAGCAACGTGTACATAGACAAATCTCCCGAATACCGTCTTTTCGAACCTTGGTTAGGAAATGGTCTATTGATTAGTACTGGTAAGCGTCATAATTTTAATGTCACACGTCACGTGCATAATACCACGTGTCAGTATTTATCAGTACGCAGTGGTGTGTACAAAAACGTATTTTAAAATTCGATTAATTATTTCGTTTGACTACTTGATTGATTTAAATAAAACGTATTTTATTTAATCGAAAGATTATTTTATATATGATACTCGAACATAATACCAGGTGCGTTTTGATAATGGTTACTAAGCGTTATATGTTCCGCAGGTGACAAATGGAGAGCACATAGGAAATTGATTGCTCCGACATTCCATTTAAACGTGCTAAAGTCTTTCGTGACTCTGTTCAACGTGAACAGCCGAGACACGGTCAACAAACTCAGGAAAATGGGCAGCACTGAATTTGACGTTCATGATTTCATGAGCGAATGCACGGTGGAAATTTTATTGGGTGAGCAGAGCGGCCGATGAAAATTGTGTTTTTCTATTTTATTGAAATTTATGTTTTTACGCAAACTTGTCTAACTTACGCGACGTCTTTTAGAGACCGCTATGGGAGTGAGCAAGAAAACACAAAAGAAGAGTGGTTTCGAATACGCTGCTGCTGTTATGAAGTAAGAAATTTTAAAAACCAAATTGACATTAAAATATATAATTTAAACTGGTCTTTTTTTTTCCTTTCTTTCATTTGAACAATTAAAATATTTTAACTGTCAAATCGTATAAAATAATTTTATCAATATTAATTGCAAATTTTAAATCTGAAAATTAATTTTGAATTTACTCATTAAAATTAATAATGTAATTTTTTTCAAAGGATGTGTGATATTTTACATATGCGTCACACACACTTATGGCTGAAACCTGATTTCATTTTCAATTTCACCAAATACGCCAAGGAACAAGTCGGTCTCCTCGATTTGATTCATGGTTTAACCAACAACGTAAGTATTGATATTTTTTTCGGAAATAATGATAAACCTAACGAATTATATATTTAACTGTATTGACTATTAGGTACTAGCAAAGAAGAAGGAAGAATACTTAAAGAAAAAGAACCAGTTGAATGAGATGACCGAAATTCCGAAAATCTCCGAGGAAGTTACTGAAACACAATCAACAACAGAAGTCGAAGAAGTACCTTACGGAAACTCATTCGGTCAGTCTGCTGGCTTGAAAGATGACTTGGATGTTGAAGACGATGGAGTTGGTAATAGACATGAAAAATATTTATATAATCACTTATATTAACACACACCGTAAATTGTTACTGTTTTAATCACACTTTCATATTAAAATATTAGGCGAAAAGAAAAGAGTGGCATTTTTGGACTTGTTGATTGAATGCTCAGAAAATGGAGTTGTATTATCCGACGAAGAAGTTCGAGAACAAGTTGACACAATCATGTTTGAGGTTTGTAACGATATTTAAGTTTTAAATGCGTAAGTGTCAATTGTTGTACAAAGGATTAATTGTATTTTTTTATTATTATCGAGAAACTTATGTTTCTAAAACAACACGAAACAAAAAAAATCAAACAAAATACATAACTCTTTATCCTAAATTTGTTCAGGGTCACGATACAACAGCAGCTGGCAGCAGTTTCTTTTTGTGTCTGATGGGCGCACATCCAGAAATCCAGGTAAACCGAGTTCACGATTGGTTGTCATCGAGTTTTCGACTAAACGTTTTTGTTTTTAATTTTCGTTCTAGGAAAAAGTTGTAGAAGAATTGTATTCGATATTTGGTGACTCAGATAGACCAGTGACATTCCAAGACACGTTACAGATGAAGTACATGGAACGATGCATCATGGAGACGTTGCGCATGTACCCCCCAGTACCAATTATCTCTCGACAATTAAAAGAGAACGTGAAACTCGGTAAGTTAACTATCATTTTAAATATCATCTTAATATAGGCATTCATTACTGTTGTCGTGTTCATTATGATCAATTATTGTTATATGATTTTATGTTAACACATTTTAGAAAAAAACCTAATCGACTACTTAATCGTTTCTTTCTGACTGCAGACTACCATTGTCATTATTCTACCGTATTTTTGATTTATTAAAATGTTAATAGTGTGGGTAAAAGAATATTAATAAATTAGATATAGTGTTGTAAATGTAACAAGCATTAGTTTTGCGTCGAAATATTGTGCAGGTATACGATTATTAATTTAAATAAGATAATTTATCAAAAATACAAAAACATTAACTTTGAAATAATTATATTTCATAACACATCGAAAATCATGGATTGGGTTGAGTATATCTCATGGGTTTCCTCGTGAGTCCATCTACCATAATATAGCATAAATATAATATTTAAATTTTCTTATACAATACTTATACAGTCATATGAATTTTTATTTACGCAATAGTCTCAAAAGACCTTACATTGCCTGTTGGTGCAACGATCGTAATTGCAACATTCAAAATTCACCGTAACGAAGAAACATTTCCAAATCCCGAAGTATTCAACCCCGATAACTTCTTGCCAGAAAGATCAGCAAGCCGTCATTATTACGCGTATGTGCCGTTTAGCGCTGGGCCCAGGAGTTGCGTTGGTATGTATCAATAAATTAATTCCCCAAACTATTTCTAATGCAATTTATCTTTTTGATCGATAATTGGTCTGAATATTGATCCCTATTGTTACTATAAACAATTTACAATACAACTGTTATTATTTGAAAATAATGGTTCTGACACACATCTGTTCGAAACGAAATGTTTTGATACATAAAATACGCTGAAAACTACGCAAAGTTTTAGTCCAAAGCCAGGAAGACTTGTATTTAAATAAAGTCGAGTGCGGTTTTTCTGATGACGTGTTTTACGGTTTATCATACAATTGTATTAAAATAAGGTTAAGGTCGGATTATTTTTTATTCAAATTGTGTTTCGATATAAATTTATAAATGTATTTTCCTTATTAACCTTCCAAGACCCTTTTGTAAAAAAAAAATTATAAATAAATTATCGTAGTTACTATTGTGTTTTATGCAAAATTGTTTCGATTATATATTAATGCGATGATTTATAATTAAAATTATTTAATGCATTTTTTTCTTGTCAGGTCGAAAATACGCCATGTTAAAATTGAAAATTATTTTGTCGACCATTTTACGAAACTTTAAAGTAAACAGTTCTAAATCCGAGAAAGATTGGAAACTTCAGGCTGACATTATCTTGAAGAGAACTGATGGATTTAAAGTCAGCTTGGAACCAAGAAAATCACTAGCCAAGAGTGCTGCATAAGTAGTAATTTTTGATTATTATTGTTTTTTGGAATGGATAATTTTTTTTTCTAAAAAATATTTTTTACCATAATTAACCATAGTTATTGTTTGGACTGCAATCGATCCACTAACTAAATAGTTACCAAGTCCGAGATAAATATTTATTTTGTACGTAGTTAAACTTTTTATTCTGTACTGTTTAATTGTATAATTTTTATTTAAGGATTATTGGAAATTGTAGTTAGATAAAATAAACACATTTTCTTTTCATTATAATCATTGTATATTTGTTTTATTTTGATTATATACTTTACTGTTCCTTTGGTGATCAATAGTTATGATTATATAGTTTTATATGGCAGTGTATTTGACAACTTATTCAATTAACCAGAATTTTGGTGAGCTTATAAATTCCAGAAAATACATTGATCATTTGAGTAACAAAAAAAGTAGAAATATGGCAATGCTGAATGAGTGAAAAAAAAACATTTAAAGAATGAAAACTTTTTTTTTTTTTAACTAGGTATAAGTTAATTTTAGTGTATAATAACAGATAAACTATAATTATATTTTGTGTAATATTTGTATAGGGAAAATATATTATTATCTAAACAACAAAATAAGTAGCTCATAAATATACAGCATTCACTTGCGAAATACTTTTAAAAAAATCTTAAAGTAATCTTAATATTTCTAAGAAAATTCAGTGATTTTGGTATTCCAAAAAATTTAATTATATAATAAGGTAAAGTTGTAACATTAGGATATTTACAGTCACATGTTATTAAATCTTAGAAAAATATCTTTAAATGAACTAATAAATATTGGATTTTAAAAGTTAGTATTTAAAATTCAATATTTTGGTAATCATCGGTTCGCTTCTTGAATTGGTTTATCTAAACCAGTGATTCTCAAGCTCTTTGTTTTCGCGGATCACCTAAAACCTAGAATGTAGATTTCAATAGGACTACGGACCACTTTGGGTTTTGGTTCAAAAAATAAAAAATTTACGCTTTAATTTTTCAGTTTTGCTTGCAGATTAGTGTATTAAATTTAATGAAAAGTTAAAAGCATATATAAGTGTATAAATAAAATATATCAATATCAAATTGTTGCGATAGTATGACGAGCAATATAATATGGTAGTGATAAATATTTCTTAATATCCACACACGATTTCCAACACTACACTAAAAATAGATTAGATAACAACACAATACGGACCGTCATGTTTTTTTATCGCGGACCGGAGGTCGAGAACCACTGGTCTAAAATGATGAGTAGTGGCTTATTACAGGTGTTTAATAGGTGTGATGGAATAATATATCGGGTAAATTTTATTTTTGGTGCATCGTACCAGAGTAGAAATCGAAATGACGCCGTTGAACTTGAATAGTTCGTGCAAGCCATATGGGGTTTTATACGGCGACGCAGCGTAGAAACACCTACACGCGAATACCGCTGTTACCGGGGTTTCAACCTACCCGGCTGACCACGCGAACGGTTCGAAAACGTCACGTGAACGAACACCAATACGGCGTCGTGTCCGACCGGGTTTCCGGAGAGGATAAAAAAAAACTGACAAAAAACCGCCGCGTACCGGACGGACCGTGCGTGCGCGATTCGAACGTACGCCGCAACGTTCGCGGCGATTTTTCGAAACTATTAGCTAACGCGCGCGCTTGGACCGCACACGAACCGCACCCGCGCGCGCCGCAGGTGCGGTCCCGCAGGGACTGCAACGGGGCAGGAGGTGTCCCTCGTTGCCCGCACGTCCGTAGGCCGATCGCAATCGCGCGGCGAACCCGTGTACCCGTCCTTGTTAGTCCGTCATTATTGCCGCTGTCACGTTAACCGGTGCAGCTCTACCCGTTGTCGCCGCCGCCGTCGTCGTCGGATACGCGTGGGACGAGTGCGCGCGCCGCCGAAGCGCGCGGTGTGTCGCACACGGTCGCGATCGAAACACGGTCGCCGCGACGAGTGGGGCCCCGTAACCGTCGCCGCGAGCCGAGAACAAACGCGTCTTTGCGCGGGCGCGCGGGAGGTGCTATGCGGCTCGGTCGCGCGCTGCCGTCAACCGTAACGGCGGTCGCGGCAAACGTACGAACGTAACGTCCGGTACCGGTCTGGCAGATAAAGTCGCTCTCGCGGGTGCATCCGACGCGCGCCCGACAGCTTTCCCGATGTCCGTCACGGCGCCCGTCACGAAGACCGACGAGGAAAACGTTCGGTAGGTATGTCGCACCCGTGCGACCGGTGTGTGTGTGTGTGTGTGTGTGTGTGTGTGTGTGATCGCTATGTGCGCGTCCCAACACGACCCAAAAGTCTCGCTTTAAAAAAAAAAAAAAAACCTACGAAATTCTACGTTTTACACCATGATAACACGTTTTTCGGACGCGTTCGAAAATTTAGATCGAACGTCAAGTGAAACAGAGCGGTTTCGTTTAGAAATGTTCACCTTTTTGTTGAACGATTCCGATTTTTACGCGAAATATGTTCATCGATTTTATTCAGTCGGAACGGCAGAGAAAATCATTTTTTTTTCCCGCAGTTCACATTTTTTATGTCAGTTATGACAAAAAAAGTTTTCCCCCGCATCTGTTTACGGTAACGACGCAATATTTAACCCGAGTTTCCGCAATCGCCGTTTTCCCGATCATCTGCACTCGTGGCCAGCCGCTAACTCGTCTCTGACGGTTTTTAAAAGGTTACTGTCAGCAACACGTACGGCTCCTTTGAACGGTTAGTCGATCCCCTGCGATAGCCGTCATCGGTTTCGTGTCGGGCAAGGAATTTATCGAATTTATATGAAATCGTGTTCAAATTGTGAAAACCCAGATAAAAACTTCGACGCATTTTTAGTTTTTTTAAGGGCTTATTACGATATAATTCGACGAATTCGATAAATTGAGTTTGGCGTACACTTCAGAACGAAAACGCGTTAAATTTCAGTACGCGCAAATTAAATTAAAATAATTTTTTTTTAATAATAATTCAATCATAAAAGATATTTTTAACTTCATTTTGATGCTAATACTTTTTATAGATTTGACTTCGAAATATGACGTAATTATTCTATACGATATGAATAGCGTGACAAATTTTTTAATACCGATATTACTTTATATCGTACGATGTATCGGAATGTCCAAATTAATATTTTATTTGTAGATCTTAGCTAATAGATATGATGAATTGTATTGTATTGTGTAATACTATCTGCCCGCTGATAATATTTGCTGTATGTGTTCCGGGGAAATTTCAACTAGTAATAATTTATTAGCATATTAGGTATGTATAAACTACTTTCCACTAAGGAATTTGACCAAATTTTGGTTAAAAAAATATACAAACATTATCATTTTTCATTGAAAACAATAGTAAAATAATTATGAATTGATTTTCTAAAATAAAGCTACCGGGTTTGAAGATACAACACATTCAATATTTGAACAACTATAATTATTTTAATAAAAATAGTTTTCATCTTTTATAAAATGTATACTATTATAATATTTATTTGTCTGGATATTATTAGTTGTTTTTCTTGTCTTCAAATAGTAAAGCAAATAATAAGTAAATTTTAGTAAATTTTTTGGTAAAGCAAATATTTGAATGACTAATTATTATTAAGTAGGTAATATTTAAAATGTGAAATTTCGATAAATTCAATGTATGATTTCGATATCGTATAACTTACGATATCAAGATATAATATCAGGATAATCGGATTGATATTGATACACGAAATTATATAGTCTATACTATATTATATATATTATTATATACTATATTATAGTATATGTTATATAGACTATAATTTGTAACTATGTAGACGTATCTTTTGAAAATCAATAAATAATATTAACATACTTGTAATTGTTCTCTGGTTTTATTTTTTACAAATTTAATGATGAAATCAAACACAAATAACTCTGTCTTGACAACAAATAATTATATTTGCCTTAAGAATCATTGTTACTATTTCGAGAAAAAAATACATATTTAAGACGCATCGAATGATGTATAAAATAAACATGTATAAAATGTTATGTTAAAATGACTTAAAAAATGACCTATTAATATTTTTAATCGATTTCTAAGCTTGTCGTCTTTTGCAAGTGAACTTATCGTTACATCCATATCGATTGAAAAATTAGTATGAACACGATTTGTTCGAGATTAATTTCCATGTTGCGAACTATAGCATATGCAATGTTTAAGTGAAATGTATTTTTAAGTGTTGTAAAAATGTAAAATAAATCGAGTCATTAGTTATGTTATAAGGTTTATCATATCCGTATATTATGTTAATGTGATAACGTCCAAACGCGGCTAATTGATTCTACTACTCATGTGTGCATGTTATGTATACGTGTATGTTTGTGTTTTTTTTTTTTTTTTTTTTTTTTTTTTTGATATTTTAATTAGTCGTACAACAACGTGAAACGGTATAAGCAGTTATAATAACCGAAAAACACGACTTAAATATCAGTCGAATCTCAAGAAATCACAACGTTTTGATAGAAATAACACTGCAATCGTTGCATACGCTGAATGACTGGTTTTTAGCAAGCGGTGGCAAAACTAGGGAGGTTAATATCTGTTTAAGGTTGACGAGGTTAGCAAACCAAGTGTACTGCCCCGAAACGTGATCGTTTATTCAACATTCAATAAGTGTTGACGTGTTTTACGACATCGCGTTTCGGACACTACCTCTCGTGTACGTGTAAATTATCTAAACGCGTTCGGTATTATTCCGACATAAACGCGCAACACGACTTGGTCAACAAGTCTTGGTTTTTCCCGAATTCATAATAGTATTTCGATCCAAGCGATTATTGACGTTCGACCGCGTTCGTCGGCGTCCGGCGTAGACCCATCAGAACGTCATCGTCGCAGAACGCACCGCGATGGTGTTGTTTTCCGCGAGCAATAAACGACGACGGGCTATCGAAAACGCCCGCGGTGGAACGCGCGTCGTTTACGCGCCAGCATTCCCCGGGCAAGTCGAGGTTACGCGCCACGTGGGCGAAAATACGGACATTCCGCGCGGCGTTCTCGTGGGAAGTCTCAAAACTCGGTCGCAGAACGGACCGCGAACGTGATAATGCGTCGCACGATCATAGATAACACGGCTACACAATGCCGATGAAATGCCGCGGTAATGCTGTGTTCTTCGCAGTCCTGTGCAGCGCGGTGTATTGCTCAACGTTAATTAGATTAAATTGATCGTTTACCGTTGCGCGCGTTATCACGTGCGACTCTCGTCGCGTGAACGCAATAACCGCGCCGAGTGTTTCGCACAGCCGTGGGACCATAGGCGCAACAATATAACATACATAGGGTATACCCTCCTCCGGACCAAGATTTAGCCCTCTCGTAAATATTCCATGTTATACATGGCTTACCGCGTACAGCACACTCAACTCACAGCAGCGTCACGTACAAAAAAAACACATTGCAGTTAATCCAACTTGGTTCAGAATCTAAAATACGTTAACATTCTATACAAGAGCAGGGGTAATCTATAGGTTATTTTAAGTTCTGGTAGGAGGGTCGTAGCCCCCCCTCCCAGATTTTTTACCATAGTTGGGACGTTTGTTATCCTTTTTCTGATTTTCCGATCCGTCGTCGATAACGGTAATATCACACCGATTGAACGGTGTTAACGGTATGGACTGATACCGAACACACCGGCATTTCGGTTGCAGACGGATGAATTCAACTCGTGAAACGATCAATGGCTGTGATAATGTACGTGTACGTGTGTGTGTTTTGTTTGACGTGTACATTTTCTAACCGTTAACGAATAATAAGTGAATAAAAACTGGTTAGTAGACGGGCTAAATACATCCGGTGCATTGTATTTGTTTTGTCCATGGACGTCATTAAATGTTTTCAAACATTAATGTCACATTTAAATTTCAATATTAAGACTCTTATGTGCTAAGTAGACGGACTGGACACATTTCATTTTTGTCCGCTTTTGTCGTAACGCTTTTCCTTTCTTTTATTTCTATTCCTTTGTTTTTATCCATTATTTTTGAGTAGTTTAACACATGAACAAAAATGTGTTACTATGTACGAGTATGAAATTACTTAGTACGTATGTAAACTAAAAGCAAAAATTATGCGAATCACTAGAAATAGTGTTCTAGTTATAAGACCCGTATACTTCTGTTCACTGATTCCATTTTTTCTTACTAAGATCTTAAAAGTTTGAGTAAAATATTGATTTCGCTTTTTATTCCTTAGGTATGAGCAAATTAAATTTACTAGCTTTAAAATTGCTGAATTTTCGAAAAACTTTGAAGGGATGGTAAAAATATTCCGTTTTAACCTAAATCAGGGAGCAGTAGAAAATCCAATATTTTTTTTAAATAAATGATTAATTTGTTAGCTATTTTCGAAAAATTAGGAAAACCGATGGTATCATATCTCATTACTGTGACAAATGTATTTTATAGATTTTTTTGGTTGGAGAATTTTTTTAAAATTACCTAAAATTATTATTTAAGAATAGTTATTAAAGTGACAAAGTGTACTGAAGTTATATAATTTTGAATTCACTTGAAAAATAAAAAGTCAATAAAAATATTCGCTAAAAACATAAAAAGATCGATGGAATTGTTTTATTCTTTTTAGTCTATCGTTTAACAATTTCGTGTATATGCTTACAAGCATGGTGGTTATAATTATTTGCCCTTGTATACAATTTTCAACAAAAATATTAATCGTATATGCTTAATGTGTTATTGATGAAAAGTTGGGCCAATGAATCGCCTAATCATCCTGGGATAGATGATTCAACTTTGTCATCGAATGAAATCATCACGAGTTTGAACCCTCCAAACGAATTCATATCGAACAAGGACAATATTTCACCAAGGCCAAATTCTGTGCTGTTCGAGTAAGTATATACCGTAATAAAAAATAGTTTAACTGTTGAGTTCCGTTCAATCAGGCACCAGACGTACTTTATATATATTTATAGTTAAACCGTAATGATAATAATTAAATGTATAATTATTTTTAATAACAATATGCAACGCGGAGTACTTCTAATAATATTATAATAGTTAAATGTGATAATAAGAATAGTTTTAAATTAAAAAAAGGAAGAAATTGCCGATTGAATTACATTTTTAGACTGTAATTAGAAGGTTCATTTTTAAGTTTCTTTTATTTTTTATTCAGCTATATCTGGTCAATTTATATTTATTTCATCAATATGATTCACTAATTAAATAATTTTATTATTTTTATCACTTGGTGTATTCATAAAAATAATAGAGGTACCAATATTTTGGTACGTACCTATATATGGATTATTAAAATAAATATTTATAAGTTGATAAACAGGTACTAAATAACTAATGTTTTCTAACGAAAATGATACTATAATAGGTCTATTTTGATGCTTAATTTCATAAAATTTTAATTTAATTTAATTTTTTTTTAAATAATTTAACGCGCACAATAAAAATGCATTTTTCGTTCCCCGTTGTTTGAAACAGTTAAAAATAGTCTGTGGTTTTAATTGCCTTAAACAATAAAGTATATGAATTTTGATTTTATTAACTACTCTATAGTTCGTGTACAATAGAATATTTACTGGCATATTGTTTTATTTTAATTAGGATGCCATCAGTGAAAGAGTCTTCCGTACTGAATACTTCCATATTAAAAATACCCCATCAAATGAAAAGGGAATCGACAATTGAAGAGTTACACAATACTTGGAGGAAAATGGGAGCGTAAGTTTGTAGTGTAATTAATTAATGAAAATTTATATTTTTGATGTCATGTTAACGAAAATATAAAATGTATTCTATACATGTCATAATATAATTGTATTCATTACTTCTAAGAATTATGAAATGTAAATATAACGCTATTTTACTCCATCAAGTTGTAACTGGTATAATAAATTATTCGTTGGATATTTATCCAGGAATTATGTAGTATATATTAAAGTTTAATTTATTATTTTTTTTATTATTTAATATTATGAAATATAATATAGTTAAAATAATGATCAAATACATCTTCAATTCAATATTTTAAAATGTGAATTAGTTAAATATAATATTACTACTATTAAAATGTAAAAGTGTATTTACAGTAAATTTTTAATTTGTTTAATGCTTAAATATTATTGATAATTATAAATATCTGAAAAAAGGATCCTATTTTAATACCAAAAATTAAATCGAATATCGGTTAAATTTAGAACCAACAAGATGATTTTGTTTACATTATTCGACTCGGCATGGCCGTTGACTGGATTTTTTAAGTTATTATTATTTGCTGTATTCAAATATCTAATCTTTAGAATATAAGATCTTTTGATCATTTTATCGTTATGATGGGTTTCAATTGAATTTCTTTTATTCCACCACACAGGCAAGCTTTAGCTACTACTCTGTCTGCTCTGTACGGAAAACTACTAGTTGTGATGGGCATAGCTTTTCCGATGTCCGAAGTGATATCCACACACATTCCTCATTCATTTTACGAGGTATCAATTTGAAATTATCTATTAAGTTTTCATTTTTTACACTCCGTTTGTTTTTAATATATATATATCTTGATCCATAGGGTTATTACTTGTATCTTTATTTTGGAAGTATGGCGTTTCTTTTTTATATGTATGCAATGCTGCTCAAAGGCAAGCCCACTATGACACCAGTCAACAATAATTTTAGTAAGTATTTTACGTTAATATATTTTGGACTCTATAATAAATTAATCTCTAGTTAAAACATGAAAATTAGTATGAAGATATAGACTGGCTAATTTATAGTATTATTTACAAATGTAAAAAGTAAATAGAAACATCAAGTAATCCGAACATTTAATTCAAAGTAAAATAATTGTCTTAATTAATCGATCTTAATCGATGAATATAAGATATTTTGTATTTTATTTTATTTTAAACAAATATATGGACGGGTGCTCTTAACATGATATTCATGGGGTTTTTTTTTACAAAAAATATGTTACTATAATTATATAAATCAAAGGATATAAAATAATATTAATATAAAAATAATAATAATAATCATTATTTTTAAGTATTTTTTGTTATAAGTGTACCGTTACAATTATTGTATAATAATAGTCTAATTTCAAAAGAACATTTATTCACAACTCGCTAATCAATTAATAAAATAAATCGCTGTTTGAAGGTCACAAAAATTGATAATTTTGTGGAAACCCACATTATTCGGCGTAGTCCGTTTTTTCAACAATTCAGCACTACTTACGAAGTAATTATATGCATTATGTTTCGTTAAATTTTTCCACGCAAGACCATAGCGCAACACTTATTTTTAAAATTCTTAATGTACCAAATGTACAATTTAATGATAATAGTCGTAAGACGATTCGCAGTCGTAAAAGTTCATAAATTGGGCGCAATTTATCGTTTTCCAGTTTACGGAGAGAACCGTTCGATACGTTATGCCCCCGGACCTATTATCATGTTCATGACATAATGTTGTGTGTTTTTAATATTAAACACGTCGAATTAAAATAACTCGCTCGTTTGACCACGTCCACGTCGCATTGTGCGCTCCTCGTTACGTTTCGTTCAAACGGTATATCAGATACATTAAAACGAACGGTGTACGGCTAAACCGTTTTGATCGGGATCCCGAGTTACGCGACAATATGTCTCTAAGATCGATATATTTCGATTCTGTTCCGTCTCGAGTTGCGTTACTTTAGTGGCAATGAACTCGATCAGCCGGTGACATGTCTGAAACAGGATATTTCTTTGGCCCATTATCTTGGATGGTTAACCCGGTCTTAGGTACAGTAGTATTACAGTGTTATCACAGTGTTCGGTGATAAAAATCGTTTCGTGAGCGATGAATTCACTAATATTCCATCATAATTTTTGATGTGTAAAAATAGATAATTCGGGTAGCAATTCAATGTCCGAAGATGGATCGGAGGATAACAGCGACTCGGAATTTTACGAAGACGAAGGCACCGACGGGACGAATGTTGCTGACGTCGGATCGCACCACTGGAATCCTAACAACCAGAGGACGCACCGCAGACAGTCGATTCACGTGCCGTTGCCTTCCACATTTCAACATTACGGGAGTTTTTACTTGAGAATGGGTGCCGTCGGTATGTTATTGGAAATCTTTAAATTTTTATATTACCTAGGAATTAAATTTGGTAACTGTTCATGTGCTTTTATCGGTTACTTAAATCCACCAATCGCAATACATAGTCACACGAGTTTTTATTTTATCGTGGTCCGCCTACAAAACATTATATTTTATTTTCTGGTTATCATATTATATTATTAACCTGATCGTCATATAGTTCGGTACAACTTACGAGTAAAGAACAATTTAGAACGACGTTAACATATTATTAACATTAATAGGATAGAATCGATGTTATCCATTTAAATTTAAAATTTTTTTATTTAATGGGCGTGATATCGGCCAACTAAGACACGTCATATCGGTTGTTAACTTTAATCATACATTGAGTATTATACGAGTATTTGTACGTGCAATTAACAAGCTAACTAAGTAAGTTTTATTAAATAAGTACGATAACTGCGGATAGTAAATTTAGGGGCGCACATCTATATTTGTTTGGGTGAATCGAAAATAACAATAATTTGATATTGTTGATTTAGATGTTATAATTTTATAGATGCGATTGGCACTCTATGGTGATGCTCTACGTAATATGTTGCACAATTTTCATTAAATATGCATTGACAAGCATCCTAACCGATATCTTGTAAAAAAAGTGACGGTTCTCAGCATGACCAAACATTGTAACATATTTTTATATTTAATTTTCTCAACATGAATTTAGCATTGATGAACAACTAACTGTATTTTGTATTACAATATAAATAAATGGGTATTAAATATATACTTGAGAGCATTGCGGATTTATTATTTATAGACATCCTTTAGAATAATATTTACTAAATTATAATTATTCATAACATATTCTTGGTAATTTTAACTTTATCTTTGTTTTTTGTACTCCTACTAAATATTTATGTTTTAAAAAATTGTTACTTAGAGGCTATACATTTTTGATTGTTTCGTTAATTATGAAAAAAATAATAACATGTAATTAATATGTAAAATATATTGAGTAAATGTTTAGACACAAACATTTGATTTTCAGCATTCGGCATAGGTAGTATGATTTATTCTGGACTGGAATTCGGCCAGTATTTTGAACTCGAACCAGCGACCAAATGCCATAATGTTCTTTTGGTACTCACACCGGCAACAAGAATGGCTTTCATATTTATACAGATGTACTTTATATTTTTAAACGACGAGGTAAAGTTCTGATTTACGATCTACACTGAATCATTTTAATTTTTATAAAAACACAGAAGTACATATGCAACAAGGGTAAAATAAATATTACATTATTATGTTGATTGCCCGGACACAATATACATCTTGTCCGAAATCAAATTTCAATTAATTGAAAACAGTTTGAATTCTTAAGTTCAATATTCACTTAAAATATAATTTATTGTTGTTTTAATATATTTATATATGTTCTTCAAAGTTGAATCGTACATTATATAGATCATCTGGTGGAATTCATAGAGATTTTTTTCAAATGTATTGTTGCAGTAAAATAATATTCTCCATGTACTGCAAAGCATTTAATATTTTTAGTAAAATGAATATTCTGTATACATGGAAATATAATCACATACATCGGGCACATCTATGGTATACTCTAGCGAAATTGTTTATGCATCCAGTTTTTTTTCACTTCTCTCCACCTTTGAAGTTCAATTATTTTCAAATCATCTTCAAATTACATTCGAACGATATCTTATACAAAAAAAAAAAAAAAGAAAATTTGTAATCAAATTCTTGCGGCTTATCTAATGGGTTCATGATGATAATTTGACTCCGAAATGTTTTCTATAAAACGATTCATTAGATTTGCTAACAATGTGTTTGTCATTGTTGCAGCAACAAATGAGAGTAACGCGACATCGGGTATTGGCGAAATTTGGGTTGATGCACATGATAGGCACTAACCTATCAGTTTGGCTGAACGTCCTCGTGCAGGAAACGAAACACGAAATACTAACGTTTTACAATCCGGCAGATAACTCTATCGGCGTCGACAAACAACCGAATCATTTTTCACGTAAGTGTTTATAATTTTCATTTGTACGGTGAGTTAGTTCGTTTTCCTCATCAACAAGTACCAAGTGTGTTGCGTGGATTTTCGATTCAAGTGGACAACTGGACAACGGTTAAAAACCATATCAACAAGTCCGTTTCGGTCTGCTACTAGCTAAAACTTTTTTTTCGTAACACGTTCTATTCGAAACCGATCGGAAAACGCGTTATCAATCCATCGCGGTTGTCCAACAAACGAGAACGGTTTGTAATAATTCGGAGATTGCGATAGAAACGAGGTAGACGGTATTCGTTAACGAAATGTTTGTAGGGCTCGTGTGCCCCGGGCGTCGAAAACCGACAAACGTTGTCTCCAACATTGTAACCACGCGGTCGCAAAACGTCCATTCGACGTTGTTGGCGAGTCGTTCGCGAATCGCTCGCACGGAACCGTCCGGTACGCAGCTTGAACGGGGCGGTTTTCGACCGTTGCATTTCGATGTGTTGCAGTGTTCAAAAAATGGACGACGACCACCACGCAAGCGCCCACGTCCGTCATGTCGGCGGTGGCCGACCGGTTGCGGCGCAGCATCAACACGGGGCCGCATCACATCTACGAGTGCCGCCGGACCAACATCATCGGGTCGCTGGTGCAGAACGCTAGCCCGTTCCTGTTCCCGTGCACGATCGAGTACAGCCTGATATGCGCGGCCATACTGTACGTGATGTGGAAGAACATCAGCCGCGTGCACGTGGACGTGTACCGACAGCGGAAGGCGGAACGGTGCGAGAACCTGGCGCAGATCACCCACTACAGGAAGTCGCCGCACTACTACTCGGTGGACTGCGCGCAGGCGCACAAGGGCCTGTTCGTGGGCATACTGTTCTTGGTGCTCACCATCATCTCGCTCATACTGTTCTTCGTGCTCATATCCCGGCCCGAGCTCATCACGTTCGCCGTTATGGAGGTGAACGTGTGCGAGCTGTCGCTGTACGGCATGACCACCATGGCCACGATCGTCGGCATGATACAGGTAGCTGCTCGCTATCGTCGTTATCGTCATAAATATATACATTTTTTTTTCGTATTACCACTTTTGTAATGCATTGTTCACGGTCATTGCGATCCTTTCATGCGCGTATCCGATCCGAGTCCTGTCGGTCTGGTTTCCGAGGACTTCGGTACACACGTAGTACACCCATTCCCTCCTCCGGTCCTATCTCCGAGTTTTTGATGTTCCGACGTTGGATCGTGTTTGCCGTCGATTGCACGCATCGGTTTCACCTCGTCGTCGAATGTATGTGTTGCACGTCCCGTAGAACGCACCGTGTGTTGTGTCCGACGGATCGTACTAGAAACTAGCCCGAATCGGATACGTGCGAAAGGAATGTATTAAGGATCTTGGTCCGTTCCGTCGGAGCATCCATGTACTCAGGAACACGAACTTTTTGTTCTTTTGTATATGTATTCACATGTATCTAATCCGTGTTCGTTTCCAGTCTTCCGATCGCTCTCCGATCAACAAAAAAAAAAAAAAAAAAAAATTGTCGGTGATCGAATTTTTCGTCCGAGTTGTGAGTTTGGACACACGGAACAGGTGAACAAGCGTCAACCTTGTTTTTTTTTTTTTATATATATTTTGGTGTATTTTGATGTGCGATAGTTCATATTTACTTTTTCATTATTAATTTACGACAAACGCACACATGATTTTCATTTCACTCAATATGGACAACGCAACAATTAATCGACCCCATATTCATAAAATGTGTGATCATCATCCACACGATTTTATTGTATAAACTTAAATATTATCCGTGTTATTTTTTCTCCATAGATTACGTGCCCACAAAGTATGCTTGATTTTTCTTTTATTAAAACTAATTTATTTCTTTTTTTCAAGAATCAGGATCATCATATGTGATTCGTCTTCGTGGAATTTAATAATTTTAATAAAATGTTTATTCGTAAACTTGAAACACAATTAAAACAAGTATACGTACCTAAAGAATGCCTAAAAAACAAAACATAAGAACAACTTAACCGAAACGGTCGTAGGTATATGAATACTGTTTTCGGAGCATTAAAAATCGGAATGGATCCGGATTAGATATGAATAAAAGAACTTTTAAGGTCGGTAATTTTTTCTAAAACTTATTAAGGTAAACATCGATATTTTTAAATATCGATGTTTTAAAAATAGATACATCGATACATCGGAACATCGATGTTTCAAACTTTTTGCCCATCTCTAATTGGAACGGAACGGAATCGAATTCCTGTCATCGGAACGCGTTTGAACGAAAACGAACTTTACGTTACGTCGGAATACATCGGAACTCCGCGGTCCACAACCATATCTGTGCCTCAGTTCAAGACAGCAATAACTTAAATTATGAAACTACTGGTTCTAAAATGAAATAAACGACCTTTAGAAATGAATAATGCAACTAAAAGTTATTGCGTTGTAGAATCGAAATCGTCGTAATTTTGCAAATAATATCACGAAGATAACTCAATTATGAATATTTTTGAGTTATTGTTGTCTTGAACTGATGCGTCGATACCTCTTTAATACAATTTTTGAGTTATTGCAGTCTTGGACTGGAGCGACGATATAGAATCTGCAAACTTTTCTCTAGCTGTGATAGACGCATACCTATCCAACCGCATTCATTACTATTTAATATTAAGCATTCAGCTACAAACTACATTCATATTTTATTTTCTCTATTAATTCGTATTATATACAAATGTACATAACATGGACATTTATCATTATCAGTGTAATAAGTAATGATGAAGAAAATATGATTTTGACGTTAGTTTTCTTAACAGAAGAGGAAGAAAACACCGCAAAAAATAAACACTGGGGGTTCATAATATAAATTTGGCAAGTTAAAAAAAAGAAGAGTTTGAAACATTATTTCCGTATTTAAAAAAGGATGATAATTTATTTCCTTCGAAATTTCAATATTGAATTACATAAATATGTACATTTTTTATTTTTACGTAGGTATAACTTTTTCGTCCGTCTTTTTAAAAAGTTGGTTGAAAAAAAAAAGAAACAAACTTGGTAGAAAAACAAATAAAATAAGTAAATAATGAGTAGGCCTGTGCGTGACGGTAAATGTGTTATTGCGTATTCGCTTGCGTTCGGAACGATCCGGAATCCGTCGAAATGTTGTCAAAAAACGTTTCTGATCCGATTCGACGGGACGATTCCGATCCAGTCCACGGTGGTTAAAAATTATATTTATCAGTTTTTTCCGTTCCGGTCCGACCGAGCGGTTCCGTTTCGTCACGATTCGTTGTGGGGCGAAAAACCTTAACTCCGATCGCAGAGATTTTTTTGCCGGGGGGTGGGAAGAAAAGGGGTGGTTACGCGGATCTCGTCCAGGGCGATCCGGGCACCCGGGGATGATCACCCGAACGGTCGAACCGGGGTCAGACCAACGCGTGCGCCGCTCGTTACAACGATGTACTGTTGCATGCGCAGGTCAGGCAGCTAAAGTTCGACGGGTTGCGGAACCTGGAGCTGGACAACATACTGCTGGTGGGCGCGCAGACGGGCACGTTCATCTACAGCACGTTCACGATAATCAGCGGCCACTTCACCGAGGAGAACAACACGGTGCTGGTGCTGATCACCGCGTCCGCGTCGCTGGTGCAGACGTTCTGCCAGACGGTGTTCATACTGGACGCGTCCCGTCGGTCGTGCGTCACCCCCGACCAGATACGCAAGAAGCCCGGCCGGGAGATCGTCACGTTCCTGTTGGTCAGCAACCTGGCCATGTGGGCCATCAACACGTTAGAGAAGTCCCGGGCCGACTCGCACCCCATACAGCTGCACTTCTACGGCCTGTGGGCCTGGACCATCATCACGCACGTGTCCATGCCGCTGGCCATATTCTACCGGTTCCACTCTACCGTGTGCCTGTGCGAGATATGGAAACGCTCGTACAAAATCAAACCGTCGTACATCATGTGATACGGCCGCTCACAGCCGGTGGTTTTTTTTTTTTTAGCTTTTAACTTGTTCTTATACTTGTACGTTTGTGTGCGTGTGCGTGCGTGCGTGCGTCTTGGCTTTTTGTTATAAGTACATTTACGGATCCGATGTGAAAAAAAAAAATTTAACATAAAAATGCACGTGTCCTTCCAAAACGCGTGACTCGCGAGATGTAAAAAATTTAATTTTAATAAACTTAGCGTTACCCGGAATTCAGAAGAGGTTATAAACGTAAGATTAAAAATACAACTTGCGTCTGCGTGATTAATATCATGTTCTCCGGGGTAAAAGATACTCGTATATTATCAATAGTATTATCATGTTTTAGAAATCGTAATAATGCACATGTCGACAGTACTTGGAATATTACGTGAATTAAAACATGATATGACCCATCCCGCCGGGTTTTCATTTCTAGTTATCGGTTATTAGCGTTCTTTCATAATGCGTTAATGATAAATCAACATATCCGATCTATGTTATTCTGGACATCCAACGTCCAGCGGTTCACAAACACTTGCGTCGCAATGTATTATTATTAGTTACTATACACTTCAAGCACACGATTCATATTGAAATTGTGTAAATCTAGAATCGAGATTATAACGTAACATGTTCACTAATTTTGTTCTCTTTTTTAATATTTTTCTATTACTTTTGACGGTAAAGTATAACAGTATAGTTTTCTTTTTTTTTTCATATTTTATTGATTTTTTCTCATTGAAAAATAGGTTTAATATTTCACGACATACTCTACGAGTGTAATAGCTCTTCCTTTGGAAAATACTGTTCTAGACGTAACTGTGTTTCGTAAGGTTCAACAAAAAAACTAAAAAATTTCACTATGCATGTTTCTCTATACTTTTCAATTCTAACTTATCGGTCCTAAACTACTTGTGTCTATAAGTGCTGAGTGTGCAATTTTTCCGGTTTGTAAATATTTTAGAGAATTATTCGTTTAATCAATTAATTTTTACTGGCATTTTTCGTATACTATTTTTACCATGAAATATGATCATATAACCAAATTCAATTGATTTTAGTTTTAAGTTACCAAAATACAATTTTTTTTCAGATACCACGTACTGATATACCTTAAAATGTGTTATTATTATCATTTTTATTGCATTTTCGCATTTTAAATAATTATTTCAATTTAGATAGGTACCCGTTAAAATACGTCATTTTATTTTAACAATATTATTTAACGAAACTTAATTTACTGTCGGTTATTTGTCAAAGCTAATCAAACCGAACAAGGATTTTAAGTATTTGCAGCTCAAAACTCTTCTCGGAAATTGTTTCTACTAATAACGTGAAGTGTGATTTAAACGTAGAAAATTTTTCAGTATGTAGCGTTTAATAAGAAACATGATAATGATTTTATTTACTTGAATTTTTTTTTTTCATTTTAATAACTATCAGTAAAAACTATTTAGCTTAAGAATTACAAAGAGTTTATTTTACAATTTTTCGATTAAATAAGACAATTTTGATAGGTACATAAATAAAAAAAAAATATTCATAATCATTTGCGTGAATTAAACTATAATATTTGATAAATTACAATATGTTTTTCATAACTTAAGAATTTAGTACATGTTGTGAATAAGGATTAATAAATGCATTATTTCATTTATTGTAACTAAAGTAAGAATTATAAACGGCTATAAAAAGCATAATATTAAAAATTACTTAATAATTGATCATTGTAATTTTAGATTGTTATAAATAATTATTTTCATATAATTGAAGGAAAAAAATACTCTATACTAGTATTATTAATAATTATTGTGTATGTTATGTATAATTTTTAACTTTGAGTTATTTTTTTTTTTTTAAATGCCACCGCACAATCGGTACACATTTATGAATAATTACATAATTCTATAAATATTTATACGAATGACTTGTTTACTATGAAAAAAAATAAAAATACATACATATATCTTTATATAGTAATATTTATACATATTTAAAAAATAAGAGAAACAAGTTTGTTTTCAAACTGAACACATTATTGTTTGACACATATAAGAATATTCGTATAAGTTAGTAGTATAATAATGAAAACAGTAAAAATGATTAATTTCTTAAGCACACCGCGCACCTACTAATACGTTTTTTCAACGAATTCTCCTTAAGCGTCTGTGGTCTTGGCTTTCTGAACATCTGTTGATCTTCGATGGTAGCCAGCCAATATGAATACGCGGTGGTAAAGAAGTTACAACGACCTATTCCATGGCACTCGATGAATGGCCTAGGTCTAAATTCTTCTAGACATGAACCAGGGCTGACCAACGATTGACCACCACCGTCAGCGTTAGCATCGGTGTGCTAAAAATTAAAATTAAAAATGTAATCAACTTCAATGAAATTGTGTAAGCATTCGTTAAGACACCAGTTAAGGTCGCACAAAAAGCATATGTTGTACAGTTGTAGTACCACAAATCACTACAAATATGTCTGTTGTGTACAGGTGATCGGGGGAGAGGAGGGAAGTTTAGAAAATCTATAATGTAAAATAAAAATTATATAGAATATAAGTACATCTGAAGCATAAATAGTTTCTACGATGTATAAGAGTATTATTCGAATATTTATGAAAGAATTGTTGTCATAGAACATGAGTATAAGTACCTCACTATTGATTAGGACAATAGTTAATAAAATGTGTATGGTATGATTCCCAAGTACATTGGGATATGTATCAATTGTGTGAATAAAAAATAATTATATCATTGGTATTATAATTAATATTACGATATGGTTATTTTTATTACTTTTCTTAATTATTAAAGTATGAATATAATAGATATTAAGAGAACGATGTTTTCGATTTACGAGGGATTTTCATTGAAGTAACTTAAGAAAACATCGAAGTATACCGAAATTTTAACGTATATTGGAATAATACGAGTATTTTGTTTAAATATACTATCAAAGCAATTCATAGTGTTTCTAAAGTATTATTGATTATTATTGTTTTATGAACGATTGTGCGCAAATTAATAATATTAAATAAATATTATTTTAAATAAACGTTTTCAACATTATTCAGAGTTAAAACACAACTATAATGCTATGTTTTTAGCTTTTTTTATTATTTAATTTAATTATATATTTAATTTTTTTTATGCATTGACCATACAAAAAATATATGATGAGATTCAAGAGAAAAGCTTGTTTTTTTTCAATTCATTATCAATATTTCATTGTACCTAATTAATACAATTTATAATTCTTCTGTAGATTCTATGCGTTGTTAATAATTAACTAGTTATTATTGATACCTATATTTTCGCTATAACTAATTTTGTTATGTTAAAATCTAACACTGGATTGTTAGTTAAATTTGACTAACCATGATAAAACTATATCCAGTCCACAGCTCGTACCAACCATTTGGACATTCGGGTATTACCATCGATTGGCTGTGCACAGCGATTACCCTTGTGGGAGCTTCACATACGGAACACCTTAAACATGATAAGTCGTATAAGTCCATAAAATATTAATCAGAATTAACATTTCGAAGTCATTATTAATTGAACACCAATCAAAATAAATGTTTAACGATATACAGGCTATATGGTTTTAGTAGAAATTCAAGCGCAACTTCGAAATATTTTGAGTAGTGTAAACATTTTCGTATTAAGACTATTACATTTCCTTATGTATTTATACATGGTTTGTGAACTACACGTTTTGACTTTAACTAACTCAATATGTAACGAGCATTTAATAATAAACACTATATTATTTTAATAATAGTTCCGTAAAATATTGAGATCTATATTTTTTTCAATTGTACAGTATATATATATACAAGAAAAAGAGAGTTAGTCCCATAACAATAATTTTTAATTATAACAATCATGAAAATAATCATAATAATACTAAACTGTCCTAATTTTATTTAATTTAACTAATCTGAATTTGAATTATATAAAACTGTATTCATTGACAAAAATCATAATATTTGTGATTAATAAACCATGTTCTAGTTACTAGAATTTAGTCTATCAATTTTAATATGAACGATGCACATATTTTTCTACTTTGAATAACATACTCCTAAAAAAAAAACGCCCAAATATCGTGTAATTTTGACCAAATATTGCGTTGGCCTTAGCGCATGGACTTGTATAATAAAACATACTATTCATGTATGATATTCACTATAATATATGCTACGCATACCAATACTGACCTCGATATGTATTGTGATATATCTAATCCTACTATTGGCGTCATCATCAAAGGCATTGGTTCTGACGTACTGAGCCAGTAACTGTAATCGCTTCTACTCGCGTAATCGCATACTTCGTTCAAGTTACAGAACAAGAAAGGCATGGTGCTGAATTTTCTTAGACAACTACCGGGTGCACCTGAAATATCGATCAATGATTACAATAATAAGTTATTCCAATTAAAATAATGCACATAACGTGTTATCACATCACACAATATGCGTGCATACCTAAATCTTGTCCATGTGCTTTAGCGTCACCCATGAAATGTAAGAGTGAGTAACCAGACCAAAGTTGAACAGTGTTCTTTGGACAGTTTGGAACGACGTCCGTCTGGGAATGATATGTGAAGAAATTACCACGATGGGGTGGTGGTCTTGTCGGCAAGGCTGGAATGCCCGCTTGCCCAGGTCGACCTAAGACGTTATAACGTGCGAGTCATCGAACAGTTATTAGTGATGATATCAAATATTAAAATCATGAGGATAAATTGTTATATACTATGGTGTATAAATAAGTGAAGAAGTAAGATATCAATATTATCTAGTCGTTTTTTAAAATAAAATATTTATTTAATATGTTAGTGAAATTGAAAATAATGTTTGGAATTTATGTAACAACCTTGAATGGTTTAGCAAACTATAATATTTATTTTAATAAAATAAGTGGTTATCAAGACCGTATCTAGGGGGGTCCAGGATGTTTGAATCCCCCCGAAATTTTTTCAATATCTTACGAACGTTTAAAATACTTATTTATTTTTAATACCAACATAAATATTTTCAGTCAAAAATGACTTAAGCTGCAATTAATCATTGACCGCTTTTAATTTTATATCATAATATCATATGAAAATATGATATTAATTTTAATTAAAGAAGATTAAATCTTTTTTTGTCTTATTTTTAACTAAATATCAAAATTTAAAATCTAAATTTAATAAAATTACAATATACATGTTTTGGACCGAAAAATATTTCTAAATACGGCCTTGGTGGTTATAGAATTGTCTCACGCCATTTTATAATATTGAATGAAATTTTTCAAATTTTCAACAATATTTTTAAGATAAGCAACTTAAATGAAGCTATTCCAAAACATACAAAGTAAATAAAATAATGTTCTACAGTATATAGAGTTAAAATGAAATCATGTCAAAGCTTTGAAGTAAATGCATACAATTAATTGCCTTATATAACATTTTATTACTATAGATATTGTTCAACTGTTATTTACCCGGAAATCCTCTAGCACCAGTTCTTCCTTGTAGTCCCGGTATACCTGGTTTTCCTTTAAGACCTTTAAAACCTAAAACAATCATTTAATTAATGATGAATAGTATAATCATTATTTATTATATATTTATAATATAAAAATAAATGTAATATTACGCTATGTAATTGAAAAATAATAATATATAATATAAATTAATTCATGTTATAGTATAATAATATATAACAAAATAATAAAATTAATTGATTAAATATAAATGATTATTTTTGTACCTCTAATTCCTGGTGAACCGGGGTAACCAGGTTCACCTTGATCTCCAGGTAAACCATCACGTCCATTAAATCCATCATCACCAGGAAGTCCTGGTAAACCTATTTTATCAAATATTTCACGTATATTATTTGAAAAAAAATAAAAATAAAAAAATTGTACCCATGATAGTATTTGTTTAAAAAAAGTCAATTTAGTAAAGTAACATTTATATTAGAACTCACCTGCTATTCCTGCATATCCATCGTCACCACGTACTCCTTTTAATTGAGTTTCATTATAATAAAATGTGTCTCCAATTTCTCCTTTTCTGCCCTATTTATGAAAATCACAATATTTAGGAAAATATTTATAATTTTTTTAAAGAAAAAATATACATATTAAATAAAAATTGCAAACGTATTCAAAATGTATGGTTTTTTAATAAATAAATCGATTTACTTTTAAACCAGGGATGCCTATTAATCCTGGAGGACCAGGCAGTCCATTAACACCACGTACACCTTTTATTCCATCGTAACCTAAAATAAAATTTGAAATATTGTTAACATTTTTATGAATTTAATTTTATGAGAATATTATTTTCAAATAATTAATAATAAAATAACCTTGTGGTCCTTCGGGTCCCGTTTCTCCAATATCACCTTTTTCACCGAAATACCCATTTAAACCAGGCCGACCAACATCACCAATTTCACCTTTGTCACTAAATAGGAAAATAATGTTTTAAAACGAAATCTATACCATGCATAGAAAAACCATATTATTGACCTACCTATAACGTACTCGACCAGGTTCACCTTTCATACCTTTTGAACCCGTTTTGCCAGTCATTCCATTAATTCCTGGTTCACCATCTCGACCACGATTACCTTGGATCGATATACCTGAGTGTATTAAAAATAAGTTGCATTTTTTATATTTAATTTAACCTTTTTATAATGAAAATTAAAAGAATTAAATTATTTTTCAGTATCATAGAACCAATATTTTTACAATGGAACACTAATTTTCTAAAATTGTTCCATCATTGAAGCTTTATAAATTGTAATGCCAATTTAATAGCATATGAAATATTTTTGTTGATTTTTAAGTCAATTTAAATAGTTTTATAAAATTGTTTGAAATATAGAAACGAAATTAATTCTATTAGTGAATATCGTTTTCCTTAATTACGAGTATATTAATAAGTAAGAATATAAGAAAAAAATGATGAATCTGGTTTTGAATCTTTCATTAAGAAAAAACTATTATTCTGGTATAGTAACCTCCTTTGTTAAAAAAAAAAAAAGACATAAGTTAGTATTTTATTTTGCTAAGAAAATCCAAACCTCTACGACCAGATTTTCCTTTAATTCCTTTTATGCTGATTCCTCGGGGGCCAGAATTTCCGTTAACCTGAAAAAATTCAAATTAATATTTTTATTTTTTTCATTTTTTTTTCTATAACAATACTATAAATAAGAATTGAAATTACAACCTTTAAAATAATTTAGTTTATTCGTTAAGAAATATTAAAAGATAAAAAATGTTTTAAATTTTAAAATGTGTATTTATTTAAGCATTTATTTATACAAACCCCGTCATCTCCATATTCTCCGGGTGCTCCTTTTTGTCCATCGATCCCAGATCTTAAACATTTATATTGAAACATTTACAATTTATAATAATAAACCATTATTATTTTATCAAACAATTTTAATAAACTTGCCTTCCCGGAGCTCCATCTATACCATTATTTCCTCTTTCACCATGCTCTGGATTTAAGCCTGGTAAACCTATAACGAAAAATGTATTAACATTAATATATTATGTGTATATAAGCTAATAATATGTATCAATAAACAATTAAAAGTTGTAGTAGTTTTTTAATTTAATCTAATCTTGTTCTACAAAAAATATTTTAATAGTAAAACCCAAATAATATAACTTATTCATTTTTTTAACCATAAAAAATATTCATGCATTACATTTTATATACCACGTACCTGGTAAGCCTTCAGGACCAATGTCTCCTTCTTCTCCTTTTATTCCTGGTAATCCTGGATATCCAACGAAACCCTTGGGTCCAATATCTCCCATCATACCCTACGAATTGAGAATAATGTATTTTATTAGATGATTTAAAATTATATGGTGTTTTATTAGGAATTAAAAAAAAATATTTATTATTATTAGAAGTACAAGTATTTATTATTCAGATAAGTAACTATTTAAAAAAAAAATATTCGTATAATTTTATATTCTACTCAATAGTTCATTTTTAATAGTACAATACTCAAAATCTAGGTAATTGTCAACAACCTACATATATTACGAGTATATTGTGAGAAAAAAATTATTAGAATCAAATCAGAAAAAAATCACCCGATTTTATTTGTAACTCTACACTACGTAAATCTAGTTTTATTTTCTTACTTTAGGTCCTTTTATTCCAAATAATCCTGGTAATCCAGGTTCTCCAACATCACCTCTCAAAGGAGTATAACCTAAAAAAAAATTAATAAGTATAAAAAGTTATGATTATTAATTTTTTTAGGCAATAATTGTTATTTTAATACCTTGTTCTCCAATATCTCCTTTTGTTCCAATCGTGTATCCTTCATAACCCGGATCTCCAGTGATTCCTATTGAATAATGAAGTATAAATATTAATTATATTATACACAAGTTGATGTTTTTGTGACATAGTCCATTCAAAATGCATAATTATTGGAATACTTATTATTTATTAGAAATAAAATAATAAGTAAAATAAATAAATAACAATAAAATTCTGCTTTTAAAACTTATTTTATTAAAAGCAAAAGATTTATTTGAAAATTTTTAAACAAATAGATAAAAATTAATTTTTAATCACGAGTAGTGATAAAATCAAAACATACCTTTGATTCCTTTGGGACCAACTGGACCATACGGACCACTATATCCTTGATCACCAGGCAACCCTATTTCATTCATTTATGAAAAATTAGCAATGTATTTTATAAATATACTAATAATTTATATGAAAAATTAAAATATACTGATATACTTTAATTTATATAAATTAAATTAAATCTTTACAAATAAAGAAAATTTAATGTAATTATAAGTACCAGGTTTTGCAATATCACCAGGGAATCCATCAAATCCTTGATCACCTTTAAGACCCTTCAAACCAGGCTTTCCACTTAATCCTGGAGGTCCTTCGACACCTGATTTAAATAAATTCATCAATATTTAGAGCAACTATTACTGGGTATATACAATATCAAAATATTAAAGTAAGGATAATAATAATAATATCAATTTTATAACTATTATACCTGGTAATCCTGAACGTCCTTTTAATCCAGGATAACCTTTTGGACCTTCCTCTCCTTTGACACCTAAAAAAGTGAAAACGCAGATTTGAGTACTTAAAAATTATTAACATTTTTTCTTATTAAGTAAACATAACCGTCTGACTATATTTTAAAAACCTCTTATATGAAGTTAGTAACAAGTATATAGTGATATCGATTTGTATACAATATTATATTTAACTATTTGTATTTAAATATATTCAAGGAATAAAATATATAATTATTATTTTATAAACAAAATAAACCTTGTTTCGAGATTAATTATACTTACAACATTTCAATAAAAAAAACCTCATTTTTATACCGAATCAAATGAAAAAATGTTTGTATGTATGTTTGGTGCGAAAATCAGTTATGTCCGGACGTAACTGATTCTTGTACCGAGAGATAAAAGTACGCAAAGTACGTACAAACGTATTTGGTTGTTGCAACTAACAAAAACATAAATATCTTGTCATTTTTTTCCCTTGACATTAACCGGACATATCTAATAATTGTACTGATTCAATTGATAGAGAATTCGTTTTTAACATTTGTATGTTAAAAACGGAATTTCGAAAATATTTAACGTAACTGTTTATTGTACCGTTGCCTTCAATTATTAACAAATTTAATGAATAGATTAGTTTCTCTAGCTTCCTTCTGAAATTTCAGTTCAGAATGAATAAACGCTTCGTTTGATCAGATGAAACTCGAACAATTTTGAATTTATCAAAATTTAATAACAATTGTTTAATTTTCAAAATTTGAAAAACATCAGATGGTGAAGGCATAACAATACGCATACGTATTATGAAGTTTACTTGACGGTTTTTCCAATTAATAAATAGATGAATAGATAGAAGTTTGATAAGTACGCCGATAATATTGAGCATTTCGTCAATAAGAGTTGCGTTAATAATTTTGTTGAACTTTTCAATATCTAATAGAAAAGTTAAGTACGTTAAATAATATGGCTTTATGAGTTATAGGTTGTCGGTCAATACATATTGAGAACAAATTTTCTTGACTGATAGATGGGAAGGTGGATTGAGTATGTTCGACGATCAATAGTTTAGTCTTAAACTGCTCAGTTCTTGATCTTAATTACTAGTTTTCCTCAATTACTCAAATAATTTGAATGAACAATAGGTCGAATTTGTAATCAAAAGAAGCTTTTTAACTTGCGACTTAATAGACTCACGAAATAAATTTATAGACGATATGAATTTATTTTGAGAGTTTTTCTAAGTTATGAAACACATTAATAAGTTTATTAAATTTGCTCTCCATAGATTCATATGATGAATTTGTGGACATAACTATGTTTTAAATTAATAATTAATATTTTTATTTAAATGTATATTATAAAGCGTTAAGATAACAATATAATGCATAACATGACCGATTAGTATCATGGACTGATATTGACTAATTATAATACATATGATTGAATAAAAATGATTAATTGATTAAAGTATTAATATTAATCAAAATTAGAAATTAAAAACGATATATAATAAATTGAAAATGTTCAAACCTTACCTTTTTCTCCTAATAAACCAAGATCTCCCATCAAACCCTAAAAATATAAAATAAAAATATTAGGTAAATTAAAATAAAAAAATTTCCGATATTTTAAGTACTTATATTATTTTTGGAATTTACAATCTAATTTATATCTATTGAATTTAACATATTCTAAAAAACTTGCGAATATTAAGTCATTTATATGAAATTATTATAATAGCATATAAATTTTAATATTTCAGTTTTCCTTAATTATAGAGTCAATTATAATTTTTATTAACATTTATTTAATTAAATTACCATTCTTCCGTGTTGTCCAGGTTTACCATCAATTCCAGGTTCTCCTTTGGTACCTAAGTATTAAGATTCCTTCATTAAAATAGTATAAATATACTTTCTGTCCATGGCATTAAAAGAAGACAATTTGCCTACTGTTCTAAATTTACTAATATAACAAATTGTGTTTACCTTTATCACCGGGTCTTCCTTCAACTGATATTCCAATATCACCACGTTTACCTTTTTGTCCATCTAATCCATGGAAACCCATTAGACCGATTTCTCCATCTCTTCCTGTATAACAAAATAGTTTGATCAAAAATTACACAAGTAAATCAAAAATAATAATTGCACTCACCTATAGCACCAGTTTCTCCTTGTGGACCGCTAAAAGAATAATCTCCTCTAATACCAGGAAGTCCCGGTAGTCCTTGATCACCTGTTAGACCCTATAGAAAAAATTGGAATTTACATGGGCATTCTTACTGGGTGTGATATAGGGTAAAGGAGATACATCCCCTCCCATGGCCTTTTTTTTTTTTTAGATAGATAGATTTTCGTGATTAACTGATAAGTGATATTTAATAGTTTAATGAAAATTAAATAAATATATACTTTTTGACACGTTATCATTTTCCATGCGAATATGTAAATGGTATACAAATAATAGACTATGATTACAGAATAATATCTGTAATATAATATTATATCGATGTAAAGTGTAAAGAATAAATTAGTCTCAATATACTATCGATTATATAATTGATAACATATTTGTGTTTACACTGAAAGAAATATGATTAAAATAATTAACTAAAATGTTCAGTTAGATGAGAAATAGTAGGCATAACCAGAATATTGCTAAACAGATCGAACAGTAAACTTGATATAACTAATTGATCTGTGATATGTTCAATTGTAATTTTGTTAATTGCACTTTAGTTAAGAGTACACGTTATTTTGTAATTGATACTACTTGGATTATGCATACTACAATTAAATACTTTTATCAGAATATTTGGTGTTTTTAACAAACCATATTTGTTTGTATGATTAAACACTCTGTAAAAATTACCAAGTAGAAATTGGTATTTATAACCAAAGTACACAATGTGTTTACAACAAAGCGTATAGGTAACTAGAGCAACAAATATTAAGAAAAAACCGGTGTTGGTGAGTTGCGGCTCAAACCCTAAGTAACGTACGAGTTGCGGCCCGAGCTTATGAGAGGTAAGTACGAGTTGCGGCCTATACAATAATCTATGTACTACATATATAATATACACAATACATAGCACATTTATATAAACATCACAATATAAATTTATTAATACTACGTATTTTCTAGTATTGTCGTGTATTATTAATATTTGTCATTTCAAGAATATAAATAAAAAAAAATATTCGTAAATTTATAATACCATATAGTAATTTCATTTTTTAGTTATTGTTTTGGTTAAAATAATAATAATAAAAAGAAAATGTGTGAAACATAAGCTTATAAATATAATAATATTTTGCGTTTCTAGAATATAATATATAATAATTATAAATTATTATATATACATATTATATTATTACAACAGATAATACAATAAAACGATCTATATTATATAAAGATATAACTTGCCATACGTATCGAACAATTCGTTTATCACTAAATGTATAGCCAACAACGCATCGTACATATAGTTACTAGCCAATAGGTACACAGGTAATGATAATTATTCGGGCCGCAACTCACCTATAGCTAAAATATTGTTGGGCTGCAACTAACCTGCGGCTAAAAAATTATCGGGCCGGAATTCACCGATCTCCAACACCGGAAACGACACGACGGGCCGCAATTCACCCACACCCGAAAAAACAACTCTATATTTAGTACGCGTCATTAGTATTTTGGTTGGTTTTACGATTATGATAACTGATGATCAAAAGAAGTTCTGTAAATATAACAAGATATAAAAGTAATGTTTTGTTAGAACTAAGGAATAACCCAGTAACCAGTACAGTTTTTAATGTGAATCGGTGTTCAGTGTGTCAATTCGTGACTCGTGTTCATTTCGCATTTTGACTTTATACATATTGTACGTACTTTTTTTTTAAATGGTAGATGAAGATGTAAAAGATTTTTTGACAGCGAGGGACTTTGCTTTATTTGAAGGTAAGATTAATTTTATTAAATTAGGTAATGGTGGTTTAAAATGTATTTAAGAGACAGGTCCGGCTCAAGTGTTTAAACAAACATAGACGAAATTTAGTTTTTGCCGCCCCTTACGTGTAAATATTTTATCAAATATTATGTTATTATTATTACATTTTAGCTATCTTAACAGAATATTTTTTTCAGTGTAGAAATTATTTTTAACGATTTATACAGCGTTTTGACGAGTTACAACAGACGACTGACTTGTATTTTTATTTTTGATCAAAACGAAACAAAGTAATTCAAGTATACTAATTTTTTTTTTAAAAAAAAATTTAGTTCCTCCTACAAGTAGAACTGATAAAAAAAAGTGTGGGTGAAATAGACAAAAGTAAATTGTCTATGCAGCCTGATGTAAGTTGTTGTATGTTGTTTTTATATAAAAAAAGAGGGCGTGGGAGCTTGGCTCACCTTTTAATACATTTTTGTATTCCCCCTCCCACCAATAAAAAATACTGATAACGAGTCTGGGCATATGTGATACTATAACTTCGCCATTGTAATTACTAACGCTAACGAAACATTAATAATCAATCGCTTTCACGAGTGTGAAATACAAATGGAATTTGATAGTATTTGATAATAATAATACTGTATAGCTACAACTGTACTACTGTTGCGAGTAAGTAACATGCCATGAATTTAAATTCTTTAACCAAATAAAATGTATTATGAACCAAAGGTATATGTCTAAAATACACACGTACCTTTTCACCTATTGGACCTTCAAGCCCAGGCAATCCTTGCATACCAAAATCGCCTCGGCCTGAAAATAGATAAAAATGTTTTCAATCGTTTTACATTTAATAGTTACAGATCATAAATAATACTATTTCATTAAAAGCAAATATAAATAAAATTACAATGAATTTAGTGGTAAAAAGATAAATGTAAACATACTTCCTTTATCACCAATTATGCCGAATAAACCGGGTCTTCCAGAAATTCCTTTAGCTCCTATTATTGAAAAATAATAACAATTAATCTTAAAGTTCAAACATAATTTTTAAACAAAATTAACTCAAAATAAATATGTTACATGTATTAATTAATAATTTACCTTGTAATCCAATGTCACCGATATCACCAACTGGACCCAAGTCTCCTAAACATTTTTTCAATTTAAGTCATTAAGTCAGCTTCAAGTATTTATTTTGTTATATCAATTAATTTAAAAGTACAGGTATACCTATTTTTCCAAGAAAACCATGTCTTCCTTGTATTCCAATAGGACCATTGTCACCAATTAATCCTCTTAAACCTGAACAAAAAATGATCAATTTTAATTAATAATATAGTATATAAATTTAAATGATTAACTCATCAATCAATCACTATTCAAACGCAATTTAAAATGTACATTATTGTCTTATTATAAAATATAATTTTTAATAATAAAAAGTATATAAATATTTATTCTAAAACTAATACTGTTATAAAATTAATGAATTATATAGGTGTGTATAGTGAAATAAAAATATATTATTCATAATTATTTACCAGGTGATCCCCAATCTCCTCTTGAGCCTTTTGTTCCATTAACACCATCTTCTCCGTCAATTCCTACATAAATTAATTTTTATTTACACTTTATTCAAAAAATATTTTATTGTATTCTCTATTATACCTTTTGGACCAGGTTCACCAAAGAAACCTTGTAAACCTCTTAATCCAGGTGCTCCAGGGAATCCAGGTGGTCCTCTAATGGATATTCCTTGTTCACCTTTAATACCTTAAAATTAAAAAAAAAATTATTAATCGAAAAACTGTATGTGGGTATAACATCATAAAGTCTTTATTTAAAATCATCTAAAGTATCAGAATAATATGATAAGTACAATTCAGTAAAATATAGTTAATATAGTATCAATATCAATATCATAACTTTTAACGAAATAATAAAATTTAGATAGTGTTATTACTTTTTTTCCGACTAGACCTGTTATGCCAGGACTTCCTTTTTGACCTTTAGAACCAATTAATCCATCTAGACCAGGATAACCTACAGAGCCACCAATTCTGAAAATAACATTTTTTTTTATTTATAAATTATCACAATGAACACTGAATATTAAAAAACATATATCATAAGTGTTTATTTTTAACTTACTAATAAAAATTATGAATTATGTTAATTTTAAAATTAAATGAATTTCAAGATTATAACATTATCCAGATAGCAATACAATATTTTTATAACAATTAAAATAAAATATTATTACGAATAACATTTTGCATAAATTTCAAAAACATTTTTAATTGATTATTTTTGAATTAATATCTGATATAACATTAAACTCAATTATTTTTTTTATTAGTAGTTTATTAAATATTTTACAAATAATTACCTTTAATCAATATAAAAAAGGAACACAATAGTAATTAACTAGTTAGTTGTTTATTAATTATATATTTTTTGATTCATACTTAAAAAAATTATTTTTCTTTTTTAAATTTATATTATCTGTGTTAACAATATGATTATAAAGAGTGTATTATTTAATCAAGTATTTTTGATGTAAAAATAATATATTGCATATTAAACTTATATAAATATACAGGCACACTGAATTTCTCGGTCGTATTACATTGGAATGAATCAAATTATTTTTACTATGTATTTTTTAAATACCAACAAATATTTGAAATGCCCTATTTCCAATCGTTATGTCAAGTTGGTTACACACTATGCGTTTTTGATGCAAGCGTCCACGCGTTTAGAAAACGGTCCGTTTTAATCACACTGAACCTATGATTACGGATCAGAGGTTTATATCACACTTTTTTGTATCCATAAAATGTTAACCATAACATTTTTATAAATATACATGTATACGTGCCATAATCAAAAAATTGGTACAGAATATGAATAAACCGAGTCATTGTCACTTAAATATTATTTGTTGTAATGTTGTGCTATTTGTGTTAGCATTATGTGAATAAATATATTTTTATCAATTTAATTAGATAATAATTCTAATATTTTTTATTAGAAAATTAATGCTTTGTTAAAATTAAGCGATGCTTAAAATATGCATTCAATAAAAATAAAAAGTAAAGAAAATTAATCGTTATTGGATACACCCATTGAATTTGAAAAAACCACGTGAAGGGTAATTTGAAATAACTATAAATTATTTCATTATAAAAGAATACTATTAAGCATAATATGTCCAATAGTATTCTTCAATAATGTTATTATAATAGTTTTAGTATAATTACGTGTATATGAAATATAAATTAAACAAACGGTATGGGAATGTGATCCGTTGCGGCTTTGCGTATAATGTTATTGGTGCCATAATTATATTGATTAATTTTGAAAAACGGATACGTACAATTACATAATATCAGACCTGTACGATTTAATTTAATTGTATGAAATTTTTATGTTATAGGTTTTTAGAAAAAATTACATAAATATATTAAGATAGTTGGTATATTCAATATTTGTTGTTGATACTTTATTGCACTCATATTTTTGATTAAAATAATCAATTTATTGACGAAGTTTATAAGAAACTACAACTGAGAATAATTATATTATACTTTATTTTTATTACATACCCTTCTTCTCCAGGTTCACCTTTTTCTCCTTTAGGACCATAATCACCGATCTCTCCAATTAATATATTTTGACCAGGGTCACCACGATCTCCTTTTTGAGCAGGTAATGCCTATAAATCATTACCAATTCAGCTTAATTATTTGTCTAAGTCTTACTACGTTGTTTTATTTAATGAACTATATAGAATATACGCAACAATTCTAAACATACTGGTAATCCTGGTGGACCAGGTTTTCCGGGATTTCCTTCTATTCCTTTTAATCCTTGATCGCCTGGAATTCCAGAATATCCTGAAAACAGTGAAATAGTACGATAAAATTAATGATTTTCCAAGTAACCAAGTGTATTCTTATTTATGGTAGCATTACATATTTTTATATTATATTAGATATAAGAAAATTATATTTACCTTTCAATCCTTGAGGTCCATCGATTGTATAACCAGGAGGTCCAACAATGCCTGAGAGTCCAATTTCACCTAAGAAGAGAAATACAAGTTATGTTTCATAAAATATAATTATGCAGTGTTTAATACCTTGATCTCCTATTGGTCCTCGCAGACCTTTAATTCCTTTTAAGCCTGATTGAAAAAAAAAAATTATTAACAAATTAAATCAAATTTAAAAATAAATAAGTTAATTTTAGTAAAAAATTATACCTTTTTCACCAAATTCGCCTTTATTGCCTTTTTCCCCTCGAAGCTCTACAATTAGTTTACTAGAATCACCAGGTTCTCCTTGTGGACCTTCATCACCACTTTCACCACTGTCCCCAGGTATACCAGGATTTCCAGGATATCTATTTGCATATATATAAATCATTGTCAATTTATAATTTTAATAAAAATCAGTGTTGTTTTTAAATATTTTAAATTTTCATACAATTTGCATCAATGTATTAAAAAATAAAAATTATTTTAAAAATAGTTTACTTTTCACATTTTCATGATACTTGAACTTTCATACTATGAAGAATAATTTTATATTAGATATAAAATATAATTCAAATGAGTCTATAGTTTAATAAATTTTAGTATTTTGCTTAAAAATCGTTTTAAGGTTATTCATTTCAGAATTAATAATAATAAATTTGTAAATAGTTACTTAACACAAGGTTTTTAGTACATAATTTTTAATGTTTTCATTAATTTATTATCGTTCTTTGATATTTTTCCTACAAACAAAATTTTGTTATACCCGCGTTCGCCAGTTAAGTCAAAAGGATTTAGACCATCTGGATAATCTCCTTTCTGCCCGGGTTGGCCATGTCTACCAGGACGGCCATCCATGCCTGGTAATCCTTGATCCCCAAATTGACCCTGTTGTTGTATGGTTATTACATGATAAACGTATTAGTCTTTTATTCATACAATTTGTTATATTATTTATTAAAAATATTAATTTATGACTTACTTTCAATCCTTTTGGTCCAATATCACCAGGAAGTCCCGGAAGACCCGGTAAGCTGTAAAATATATTCATGTAAATGTATGATTTAATATTTACAAAGTAAATAGAATGGGTACACAAATATTATAATATATAAAATTATGCGTATGAATGTGTGTAATAAATATACATCAATACCCTGGGAATCCCTTTTTGCCATCAAATCCTGGATATCCTGGTGGACCTGGGTCTCCTACAGTAATCATTTCATCTCTGTCAAAAGTAAATATTATGCTTCCCATGTCTCCTTTTATTCCAAAATCACCAGCAATTCCTATAAAAAAAAAAAAAAAATGATTGTTTAATGTTTTATGTATTTAAAATAGGTCATGCGTTTTATTGTTTACTACATACCCACGGAACCTGGTCTTCCACTTAATCCCTTGTGACCTATTTACATATGAAAACAAGTTAAATATAATATAAATTATATAGATAAAAATTTTGAAGAAAAACCATATAAATATCGAATACCGTTGTATTCTAATTTTAAGTAATACATTAAACACATAATAATTTATTCAAAATAATTGTGTGTCAATAGTTCACTATACCTGGTGGTCCTTGATTGCCTTTTATTCCTTTAACTCCACGTGCTCCAACAATACCACTAGGACCTAAACAATTTTAATGATGTAATTAAAATATTTTGAATAATTTAATAACTAGTTCTAAAAATGTATTAACTTAATGCATTAAAAAAATTAATCGACTAATTGATGTTGTTTTAATTTTTATTTTAATTATATATACTATATATATATATATAGTGAAGAAATTGAAATAAATTATTAAATTATGATTTAAAAATATTTTCTGTATCTTCTGATATACTTCAGTGTTTTATAATATTTATTGATTAATTCTATCTAATTGATAATATTCTGATAATACGAGTAATGTTATTTGCATTATTTTGATTTATATTATTAATCTACTAGTCATATGAAGACTATTACGACAATTTTTTACTATAAAAAATGATATCTTGTTGAAAAATATTCGTAAATATATCTACCTATAGCACCTGGAAGACCATCGGGTGCATCATCACCTCTTACTCCTTTTGGTCCATCATCGCCTGAGAATAAAAACAAATGGTTTTCTCGATTAAACTTTCTAAATTAATAGATGAGATAGAAAATGTATATCAATAGATTCTTTGTATGAATCAAAATATCCATAAGATGTAAATTAATTAGTAGATAATTGTATTAAATAACCTGGACTGCAATAGCCGCAATCATCTCCTCGAGGACCTTTTTTTCCGGCTCTGCCAGGCAATCCTGTAAACATTTTCAATGATTCGTTTGATTATTGATAACTAGTTAAATTTTATTACTATATTGGATGGACTTAAAACATATTTCACAGATATCTAGGTAGTATATATCGATATCAAACTAGGAATATGTATATCGTTAACTTTCTAATACCACATACACCAATTCATCTTATGCTCATGTCACTTACTTTTGTCAAAATCATACTAAGTTTTTTTCTAATATTAAAATATTAATTAATTATTTATTAACTTCCTTTATCTTGGAATTTATAAATATTATAAAGCTTCTCGTGTCCCTTCTTACAGCAATACTAATTAAAAACCAATTATATATATATATATATCTTTGATCCTTAATTACGTTATTTCATATTGTTATATATTATCTTATGTACTGCCAATCTATTTGTATCTAATGCGCATTGATATTGTACTTAATATTAAAATTATCATTAGTAATTTTTTTCTCTTTTTTCTTACTATGTACCTTATAGAAATTATTTTATTAATCGACTAATTGTAATATATACTCTTTATTTTTGACCGATAATTCGTCATAGTTTCTACTAATAGTTAATAAAAAAAAAAAAATTAAATAAATATATTAAATGAAATTTACTGTAAACCAATAAAAAAAAAATGTACCTGTGAGAATTTATGAATATAATGTATTATTTATTTAGTAATTCGATGTCTAACCATATAATTATGATATTTTTTTATTTATGTAAACAACTATATGGTTGAATTCAACAGCACAATATTCACAATATTATTTTATAAAATATGTACCCATAAAAGATAAATTCTTTGATTATTTCTGAATAATTAGAGTATTTATTTGGTAGTGTTAAAAGTGTCAACTTAATCATAAATTTAACTGTTGAAAAAATAATTATAAATACAAACTTTAAATCGTATTTTTGTTAATGTTGTTAAAACGATTTTAGCAATAATATTTTTATATAAAACGTCATTAATGGTAAAATGTACTATCATCAATTTGCATTCTACACTATACTTCTTACCAGGTAATCCATTTTTCCCAGGTGAACCAGAAAATCCAGGGACACCAGGTGCTCCAGGTGGACCAATAATTCGTATTCCGGGCTCAGTTGCTGATTTACCTTTTGGTCCTAAATAATTTAAAATTTAAATTTCAATATAATAAGTATACTGGGTGCGATAAACTGAAAAATCAAAATGACAAATATAAACCTCAACGAAATATATATTTAAAATTATAGAGTATATTTTTAAAAAAACTAATTAGGAATTAAATAATTTTTAGTTAATTTAATTTATTATAAAACGTGAATACAATTTTAAAATTAATAGTATGAATTAAATATGAAAATAAATATTCATGATATGAAATATTTAAAATTATACCATATTAAAAATAATAGAAGAGTTACTCGGGGTGAATTTATATAAATTCTTGTATACACATATTTTGGAATATATTTAAATATTTTTAAAGTGCAAAATTATTTTAATACAAATAAAACATGATTTAACTAAAAAAATTGAATAGTTGAATATTTTAAAATAAATTTTTTAAGTTGAACTATGAAGTATGATAATAAAAAATAGACGTAAATATCTAGTTATCAAACATAGATAAGAAATAAAAATAAGACGGTATAGTTATTATATGGCTCATTAATTTTTACAAACCTTTAAATCCTTGATCACCACGGTCTCCTGTAAATCCACGGTATCCAGGACGACCTAAAAATAATTTGTGAAAAATTATACATCATTTGCTTTTAGTTTGCTTAATTGAAAATTATAATACTAACCAAAAATACCATCTTCGCCTGGAGGTCCTATAACTGTGGTACCAGGAAATCCTTTTTCACCTATAGGACCAATAGGTCCTTCGTTTCCTGGAGGTCCTTGTTCTCCTTGTAAGCCATCCAATCCTTGATAAATATATGTAAAAATGGTATATTATCCTGAACAATAAACTATTGAGTAATAGTATGTTCTTTTTCAAGTAGATTAATTTAATATTTAAGTGTAAAATACTATATAAATATTTAGTACAATTACATAATTATACATACATATATATATATATAAATTATAAATGATTTACCATCGTCTCCTTGTTCTCCTTTTAAGGATATGCCTTTTCGACCTCTAGATCCAGGTGTACCTGAAAATTATTAAAATTAAAATAATCCGGTTAACACTTCTATTTAATTTTGATACTATAATTGCAAAAACTATAAACTACTACTGTATATTAATTGTTCAATCACTAGTATTACGCATTACTTAATTTGTTCGAAGTCAACTGATAAAAATTATGTAGTACTAAAGTATTTTTTTTTTTCAAAAATATATCTTTCAGTACTTATTTGTTGTACTAGATTAGTGATTTTCTGACATAATACTTCAATTTATTTTTAAATTATAACTTCTTTAAATTTTGTTTTCAAAAATAAGAAATCTAATCCCAATATTTTTTGTGATTTTATAAACGTATAAATAATTATTATAGTTTTTTGTCATTTCAGTCATTGTATAAAATAAAAAACTAATTAATATATATAAATATATTATAGCATTATTTATAACTAGGGCCTGGAATTATATGCACTTAGACTTAGAAAGATTAAAATAAATGCATTTAAAAATATTTTATTAATTTATTTTCATAAATTTCAATGTGACTCAATTAGATAAACTAGTATCTCCATTACACATATCAACATAAATTAAAACAAATGTTAAACATATATTTAACAAATAAAACAAATATTTTAGTTAGGAATAATAATAAAAAAATTAAAATGTATTAAATCCTTATATATATAATTAATCCGATTTGTTTTAATACTTGAATTCCTTTATTTTTGTGATACAATTAAAAATAAATTTAGATTTTGTAGCAGAAACTTTGTCACCTTATACGTTTGATAAATCATAATCTAGTTTCTACTGTAATATAAAAAATAAAATGATTGGGTTAATGAACTTTTATACAAAATATTCATAATTATTCAAAAAATTTTAAATTTGCTATCATCTCAAAAATATGCATTTATATGCAAAGTAAACTTTTTCCTATGCATTCTCTTTGTAAATGCATACAAATCCGGACTCTATTCAAAACTCAAATAAATAATAAAATTTTATTTTTAATAATTGTATTCAGTTAAGTAGATTTTTGGAATTCACAGACTTATTTTACGTAAATAAATTATAGAAAATATTGATGACAGATTTATCAAATCATTTCGTGAAGCTAAAATATATAAATTATCATACATTATTTTCATAAATCTTACCTGGTGGGCCTGGTTCACCTGGTGGACCCATGATTCCTTGGGGACCAATCTAAATTTATATTTTTAACTGTGAAAAACCAAAAATTTTTATTAAAAATTTAAATTATATCTTACCTGTCCTGGTCTACCATCTTCTCCTTTAGGACCAATAGGACCTAAGTTAAACAAAGTAAAATATTGAGAATTATATTAGAATATGAATAGGTAGTACGATTTAGGTACTAACTTTATAAACTCCAATATATGATAAAATAAGTAACAGAGAGCAAATATTTATATTTAAAATAAATATATTTTCAACGTGATGGTTTTTAATTGAAATTAATATATATTGATAATTTTTAATTATAAATTAAAAAAATTGTTGAAAAAAAAATAATAACTTTTTTGTGTATTTATAAGAAATGGAAATATTTTAATATACCTATAGATCCTTGAGGTCCTTCAGCTCCAATCTTGATTTCATCCAAATTTGGGTCATATATTCCTTGTTCGCCTTCTATTCCCTGTATTCCTGGAGTTCCTTGACGTCCAGGTTCACCGGGTTCACCCTTAATTTAAATTAGACAGAAAAATGTTTTCTTATAACATTTTTTGTTAAAATACATTTATAAAAAATATGTAATTTCTTTTGTAAATGTATAGGTATTTGTATTTAAAAAAAAATGTATAAAAAAATTGATATTTAAAACAGTTCCTTTGATAACATTGATTAAAACATAATTTTATAACTTACGGCATTTCCATCTTCTCCCGGTGTCCCTTCGAAACCTGGAGCACCTTTATCTCCTGCACATAAATTATATATTTTTATACATTTTTAATTGATAATTTAAAGTAAATTTAATGTTCTTGTATCTATTATCATATATATTTGATTTATTTACCTTTAATTCCAGATGGTCCAAGTGGGCCAATGGCGCCATCTTTTCCCCTTTGACCTGCATTACCCTGTAAGCCTAAGAACAAATAAATTTAATTTTAATACTAAATAGTGATATAATTATAGAATTATAGACTAGCTATTAATACTTCGCAAACAATTTTTTTCATCAATGAAATGTATAAATGGTAGTTTAATAAGACGAATAATGTATTGCCTTATTAACCATCGTAATTTATTATTAGAATTTTAAATTAGTTTTAAATACTTATATCATATTTTAGGCACTTGGTATTATTTATATTTGATTGATTACCTAATGTGTATATTTTGATTTAAAATATATTTATTTAAAATCAAAACCACAATTCAACTTCAATATATGATCAATAGTTGGTACTTACATTAGTTATAATATTGTAATAACTTTATATACTATTATATGATAATAATATTATCATCTCGTATTATGGTGTATTATTATTAATTCAACAAACTTATGGTACAATATTGTAATTAGGAATTTATGGTAATCTTTCAAGAAAAAGGAACTTACACTCTATACCGTATAATAAGTACATTATGGTATATATTAGGATTGAAATAAATTACCTTTCACTCCTTTAGATCCTCCGATAACAGAAATTCCCTGGGAACATAAAGAAAATATGTTAATTTTTTTAGTTTTTCTATTAATTCAAGAAATTAAATAGGTACAGAATTCTTTATAAATTTTTAACTTTAGTATAGAGATATTTATAGCTGGACAAAGATTTTATTTTATTTAAAAGTCCTACATTATTAAGTGAATTAAATATTGTCTTTTCAACATACATTTATTAGACAAAGAAAAAATGTACATACTCACAAAAAATATGATGTAAATATACGTATATTAATATTAACTTAAATGTATTAGCATATTTATAATATTAATATAAAAATATAATATTATATAATATTAATTAGCATAGTTATAATATGTATCATTTATCATAACTGAAAACCTTGCTCGTTTTACATACTTTAAGACCTTTTGAACCACGTTCGCCTTTATATCCCTTTGGTCCACGTTCTCCAGGTTCACCGCGATCTCCGGCTGCTGAATACAGATCTAAGTATATTGGAGAATCATCTTTGGCTGGTATTCCTTCTTCTCCTTGATCTCCTTGATCGCCTCTGTCACCTACAATACAGTAATATTAATATTCAATAAAATATAACATGTATAATTTTACGATAGTATTTAATTGGGTTGTAATAGAATTATTCAGAAAGATTTGTTGAAATATATAAATATATTTTGGTCCTAGTGGATACTCATATACTGTGTTGAGACTTATCTAGATAATTATCTAGATAAAAATGTCAGTCATCTGCTAAAATTTATCTAGATATTTTATGTTGAAGAAATTATTTTTAAATTATTTTATTTTTGTTCCTGATAATTACTTATTACCATATTGTACTATTTTCGATCGCGTCGACGACGATGGGTCGGTAATGATTTATATTTTATAAATTATAATATTGTGATTCTATAAATAATTTTGTTTACCACGAGTTTTACCAAGAGTGCTTTCAGATGATACAATTTTTCCCTTCTAGTTGCCGGACACTGTGTCTGAGCCACTAAGATTACAAGAAAAATAAATACGGAAACAATAATATTTCAATTACTTAAGATGGACATAATATTAGAGTATATTATATTAATATATTATCCAATATAAAATATGTTCATAATGATATAGTTTAATTACATAATATAAATAAAATAAAAGTTACTATAAAATCTTATTTTTATAAACGCAGACTTCCGGTGACAAGAAAGTCAGATCGATACTTAGAAAGGTCCAAATTCCGACTTGACCATAGAAATTAATAACTATAAATAATTATTATTACATTGAATTAAATCCCTTGATTATGTACAGCCTATAGGTGCAACGAATTACATGTCAGTATAATATGCATGTTTGTAATATTTGACTATTGTATAATTGAAAATAATGACCTAAAAGAAACCTTTTAATTTAAACAGATAAAGTACTTTAAAAAATACTTATTGAAGTGTTCCTTGATATTAGGTGCCTATTGTGTATTATTATTAGGACAATTAACTGTCCATTTATTGTTTTTAAATAAACTGTAATTGACTTTAAAGTATGATGTATAGAAAATAAGAAACTTGTAAGAATAACATTATACATAATTATTTTATGTTTTTAATTTGAGAAATAAAGGTTATATATATATTTTTTTTTTTTTTTGTGCATCTTTTATTGTCTTGTTAATAGAAATCAAACATAGTTAAAATTAAATGTATATAATTTTAGTTATAAAATTAAAAACTTTTATGGGACTCAAAAATAAAGATAATGGATAGCAAAATGTACCTATGTTTTTATTTATTCTAAACAAAAAAATAATTTTTAAATTACAGAAGCTACACTACAATTAGGCGTTTGCCTTAAAAAAATGCTATAAATGTTTTATATATGATAAGTCTGTTAAATTTTACTAGACTTCTATTACAATTTTAATTTGAAATCATTGTTATTTAAAAATTTATCTGCTTTTTATCTAAATAAATTATATTTATCTTTTATCTACTAAATGGATAATTTTGGATTTGTTCATTTTTATCTGGATAGATTTGAAGTTTTTTATTTTTATCTTTATCTAGATAAAAAAGTATTTATCTAGGCTCAACACTGCTCGTATGTTGTTCGTATATTGGTCTTTGTAAACACTGCTTGGGTGTTGTATAAAAAGCAAGGAATCCGTATACAATAATCCTTCGTTATCCGCGTTTTTTTTATCCACGGTTGGGTCCACGATAATATATTATTAATACGATGGGCGCCGTTCATAACCGCACACTTTCAAAAACAGGTCATCGTTCAAAACCTCACAATTTTATATCTTAATCTCGCATATTTTCGCCAAATTAAACCGTTCAATACCGCACAAATTTATATATATATATATGCATATATCAATTACGTATACATTTATACAAAATAGCATGAGTGCACCTCGAGACCGAGCGGGGTCACTCGCTCGCTCGAACAGTTATAAACGAAAATATCCTCCGATTTGCTATATAGCACTACCCCAAGTAGGTCTTAGGATTGAAAAAAAAGATTTTGTATGGGATTCATACGAAACCGTTAACGTAAACTGTACATGCAAAATATGCAGAGAGAAAGGAACTGTTAACCAAATGTGTGCGGTATTAAACAATGTAAAATGTGCTGTTATGAACGGTTAGTGTACGGTTTTGATGACCGCCGAATCCGATTGCAATTGCGATAACGTTTTACCGTTATTACACGAATACTGTAGACATTTATTTTTGACATTAATTATAGATAATTGTTGTTATATCGCTATAGGTATAACACATATAAATTATACATACTTATACTTATTGCAGATAAACCACAAAAGGTAACCTATACATGCACGATTAATAATCGTCAATTGCTCAGTTATTAATTGATTTTTAAAATTAAAAAAAATTAAACCCAACCTCCCGTTTTACATTGATTTATGGTATCGTTATCCGCGGATTCGTTATCCGCGCAGGTTTTCTGGAACGTAACCTTCGCGGATAACGAGGGATTACTGTACTCGGGCAAATTTTAAACATTTATTTCTCATAAAAACCAATAAACCAGTGACGTATTTATGGTGAAGGGGGATCAATGGGGTTTATTATATCTATATAATATAAGTTATAAATACAGAATATAATAGTAAAGTTAAATTTTACTTTCTTATGTTATCACAAAAAATTTATCTGGACCCTTCGATGAAAAATACCTACATTTACCATTCTCCGGAGACCTTCATCAGATTTTGTCTATAGGTGCAAGTGGGAAGAAGAGTTAATGAAGTAAATGCGTCTTTTAAAAAATGCTATTCATGGCTACATATAATAAAATTTAAATTGAAAACTAATATGAGAGATACCAGTCGAGATGATATAAATTTTGCCAAACATTTAATTTAACAGAAAATGTTTAATTTCAAGCAACGAAATGGTAAAATAAATACTAAAAGTTTCTTTGTTTCAGTATCCACTATTTCAAAATGGATTCAAAATTTACTTCTATTTATAGAAGTATAAATATACTTCTAATATCTATTTTTAAAGTTTTTTAAAAATAATGAAATGCCATGTTATTATGATTCTTGTGAAGTATTATACATGTTGTCTTGAAACTCAATTGTTTTGTTTTTATAAAATTAAGATAACTGTACATTTTTTTAATTGTGCAGAGTCAGCATTGTATAGAATGTCTAGGCTAAAAAATATAAGCATATATAGTATAAAAATTATGGATATTGTATAAAATAACTAATCAATGAATACAATGATTGTTTTTTTTAATTTGACTATAATACGGTTATTGTAATCGATTTCAAAATCGATTTCAGATATCGATAAAAATCGTTAAAATTTTTTTTAGAAAATCAAAATCAATATCAAAAACGTTAATGGTTGGTAATGATTTTCAAAATTTATAATGAAATTGAAAAAAGTTAAAAATTTAAAATCAATATTTTATATTAAAATCAAAATCAAAATGTGTGATTGGTTTCGCTACTTGCGTTTGACGCGGCGTCAATATGTCAACATTTTTATTTTCCTTGACAGAGGACGATGCTTTAATTAATGTTGACGATTTAGATGAAAAAAATCATGAAATTTTTCATCATCGTTAATAAGATATCCATCAATCAAATTTTTAAAGAATCCTTTAGAGTTCTTCGTGGAAAACAAATTACTGAACGGTTTTCTTTTTTTTTTGGAATTAAATTCATAAGCAACTCATTTTCCATTTCTTCATCACGAAGTAATAACTCACAAATAATATTATTATTATTAATAATATTGTACAAAATTAAATTTTTATTCATTTTGAAAAATATGAAAATTATGAATGAACTATCAAAAATCAAAACTTCGTGTAAGAAGAAACGTATGAGAGTGGTATAAAATAATAAAATCTATGGTGTCTGACGCTACAGAGAAAACAGGATGAACGCGGCATCAAGACACTGCGTTTACTAGCATCTAGACACGGCATCTGGACACCGCAAGTAAACCGTATCTATAGAATATTTACGATAAGGAATCAATATTCAACGAGCGATTTTTGTTTTTATACACACGATTTATTCCGTATAATATACTATATATAGACATTTTGTAGTGTATTATTATGGATAAGATATTAATTTATAATACTCCATTGGCTGTCATCCATGAGTTATAATTTTAACCAATAATATACAATTAAATAATCTAAAATAGTTTTATTTTGTACGTTTGCAGTCGCTACAGCATACAACACTATTATACTGACGATGTACTAAAATTTGAGGAATTATAAGTTATGGATAACATTCTGTTGTGAAAAAAAAAAAATAAATACCGATTTCCGAAACCGAAATTGAAAAAAATGAATATCGATATTCGAAATCAAAAACGAAATTGCAAAAGATAAATATCAATATTTGAAACCAAAATTTAAACGAAAAAAAACTAATATCAATAATCAAAATTGAAATTAAAATCGAAATTTTTTATTTCGATTTCAAGCCCTGCTATAATATATATACTATGACATGCACGATTTCATTCCAATTTTTAAAAATACATGCATTAAGATATGAATATTAAACGTTACCTTTCCGTCCGGCACGAGGCTGACTATCTTCACCAGGTTCTCCGATCGGTCCGTCATCACCGATAGGTCCCTGTAAAAATTTATAATTAGTATTATATAACTGATTTAAAATATAAATTGATTTTTATTTAATAGAACATCATGCTTTAATGAAATTTCAATTAATATTATATAATATTCAGGTTGTATTTTTTTTTTTTTTTTTACTCTGTCTTATGTACATTATTGTACATTTCAGGGAATGGAACCTATAAGTGTTTTCGGTTTCGGTTTTTTAAAATAGTAAGGGTTCTATAACCGGTTAATTTCGGTTGATTTTGATTATTAGATATTTATTTAAAAAAATTATATGAAATTATTTATTTATTTTTTTTTAAATTGTAATTGTTTAATTTCATGAAAATAGAAGGTATTATGAATAGATTAAAAAAATATTTATAAATTTATTAAAAATATATATTATATTAGCCTATTATAATTCTTTGAGTTTGGTTAAGTTATTTTATTCCAACTCATAGTAAGAATTTATAAAATATTTTGTAATATTGTGAAATATTATGATTTGATGAAATATATATCTTTAATTTAAAATTTAATTTTAATTAGGAATCAAAGTTGATACTGGCTACTGTTGTAGCTACAAATTTGTATAAACATTAATTATATTCAACACTTAATAGACAAGATAGATAATATACTCATTGTAAATTGTAATATATTAATAAACATACAATAATAATTATAATAATAATAATAATAATAATATTACAAATTTACTTAATATATGCATTACACTATTACAGTTTACAACTCAAAATAATAAAAACATAAAAAGATTTGTTTTTTATGATTATGAACTGAAAAATGGACAAACAAAATAGTCATTACCATAGTTTTACTAGTCTAAATAACTGACTAAAATTAACCCTTTTATAATTAAGGTTACGGTTACTATTAAGGTTTTTTATTTTTGGAAATAATGGTTTCGGTTTTAGTTCGGGTTCCTAAATATTAAAGGTTAGCCGGTTCCAGTACCGGTTCTTTTCGGTTACGATTCTGGTCCCTGGTACATGTACATAGTTTAATATTATCCACTACTTTTATTATTTTTAATTTATCATTATTTTTAAGTCTATATAATTCTGATAATTAATCTAATCTAATTACAATTTTTCTTGTAACTATCAAGTTTTATTTGATAATAATTTGATTTTATCAAAAATTGTTCATTAGATCAATAGGAAAAAGATTTTGTGAATTGATAATCAAAATAATTACACCATTTGATTTATTATAAAACAACCATAAATAAAAAAACAATTATTTGCTTCAAAATTACTAACCAAAATATAATTTAAGTTAAATTTTACTTACTTGGATACCAGGAGTGCCCGGGTCACCTTGTGGTCCACCAATTCCAGGATAACCAGGTGGGCCCTACATAAAAACAGATATTTTTATAATTTTAATTCAATAAAATAATTAATTATATATTATAGAATCATTCTCAATCGGGTATGAATTCATATTTTAATTTAAGTATATAATATGAAATACAAGCAATGCCCACCAATAAGTTTTATAATATAAATAAATGAAGTAAGTATACACTTGTTTTGAAGAATTTTTGTCATAGAACAGTGGATAATGCCTTTATAATAACTATTACGTATTAAATGAAAATGCATAAATTCTTAAAAAATTAAATCTTATGGACATGTAACCTTATATAAATAAAATATTGTTTGATGATAAGCTATAATTTAACTATACTTTAGAATAGCCATACTTAACAATTTTTTTTATTTGAGCCACATGAAATATTTTAAAATATTTCACGGGCCGCAAGTTGAAATGAACCGAATGGAAATGAAAAAAAAATAAATTAAAAATAAATGTATGTATTGTGTATATTGTATAACATTTGAAAATGTATTATAAAAAAATGCAATTAAATAATTATTATAAATTAGTGTGAATTTTGGTATTGAGATAGGTTTTTCACTATTTTGGATGTATCTGGTTTGAAGTTACTACATGTTAATCTTAACAAGTCGTCAAGATGTGAATCAGTAAGCCGATTTATGTAAACATACTTTACATATTTCATTTATGGATTTATGACACACTTTGATTGTTTTGTTATACCTATTTTATATTAATAATATAATTTTTGAAATTTATATTTAATTGTCAATTCAATGTGTTCTGTTTTAGCCACATATAAATCGTTGGAAAGTCGCAGATTAATTAATTAACAGAACATTATCATATCGATTCAATATTAACTGGATTTTAAGCCATAGGAGTGCTCATTCAATGCATGAATTATATATATATATATATATATATATATATATATTTATTGACACCAAATGAGTTTCAATTATATTATGGTTAGTAGAACACATTCAAACTGATATAAAAATAAAATTTGAATAGAATTAGGCAGAACCTTTTGTTGCTTTATAATATTTTGTTAATAACCCTGTTTTCTTACTTGTATATTGCCTCTACCAGATTCACCTCTTTCACCCTTTAGTCCTCTACTATTTGCACCTCCATCTCCAGGATCTCCTCGCAATCCCTAGAAAAGAAAAATAAATTTAAGATAAATAATCTTGTATAAAATATTATTTTATACTATTGAGAGCCATCACATTTAAATAAAATAGGTGGTTAGTCAAAAAATGTCAAAAAATAAATATCTAAATATTTTGAATGCTCATATTTTATATAAATTATTTGTTATTTATTAACTATGAATTAAAAAAAAATAAATATTAATGTTTTTTAATTATTTAATAATAAATTACAAATTTTGGTAGTACAGAAGATGATAAAAACAAAATAACACAAGAAAATTTATTATAATAACTAACAATTATTGGATTTAACTTTCATACTAAAATATTAGTTATTAAAATAAAATGTTGTACTGAAGTATGTTAAACATTTAACAAGTTCGCTGAAAATATTTCAATTTAGATTATTTAATTTAGCTAGTTTTTACCATTTTAAATTGGTTTGTAATTTGTCATTGCTTATTAATTGGTAATTTACCGTTTTTCGGAGATATTTTGTTTTTATTTATAGACAACTCATGATTTGGGCAGTCAATAAATAATATTTAGTTATTATAATGTAAATATAAGTTTTTGAATGATAATAATAATGCATATTTTATAACTTATTAATGAACAATTGAATAATATCATTAAATTTAACTTAATTTGTTTTATAAAATTAATATACACACTTGTTGACCGTCAACTCCCGGAAGACCTCGATCACCAGGAACCCCAGTTTGTCCGTCATATCCCGAATTACCATCCGTTCCATTACATCCTTCCAAACCTTTAATTCCCGGTGATCCAGGAGCTCCTGGATATCCCTAGAACAGTTAAAAAAATATTATTTTATTAAATTTTTTAATATACGTGGAAAAAATATTCTGTCAAAAATAAAACAAATATTTGTATAGTCATTAAAATTTTACTTTAAAATATTACTTACTGGAACTCCAGGAATTCCAAGTGAACCAGGTAAACCACTATCGCCCTGGATGAACAATATATTATTATTAATATCATAAATTATACTAAAAGTAAATGATATTAATTTTAAATAAAACTATATTTACAAACAAATTTAAAATAAGTGTACCAAATGTAAAAGTTTAAGATGAAAATAAGATACTTTATCTGAAAGAAATAGTTATTCAATATAATTTTTTAAGTTAAGAGATGTGTAAACATTTTGATTAAAAATGATTAATCTTCATGTTATCAATACTTTATGAATGTTGTAAATACATTTGTATTATAATAAGTATTTTATACTAACCCGATAACCTTTTAAACCAAATTCACCAAAATCACCAATCGATCCTTTTTCTCCTTTTGGTCCCAATGGACCTTCAGGACCTAAAAAAAATTAAAAATATTAAGAGATTATCAAACTATCTATAGACAAAATATGGATATATATCGTTGTTTTTAATAACAATGAACAAGACAGTTATTAAATACTAGGTAAGATTAAAAATATATTATTTCATCATGTTTATATACTAAATATTTTTATACAAACATATTGACAAATTTTATATCAAACTTAATTGGATATCAAAATAAATCAAATTTGATATCAAGCAAAACATGAACTATATTAATTAAATTAAAAATGTTTAAATTAAAAAAAAAATGAGACATTTTTAAAAAATAGTAATTAAAAAAACTCATTGGAATCCCAAATGGCTTAAACACAACATATTCTATTTTAAAAATAAGAAAATGATCATCTAAGGATGTTGAAATTTGATTCTAACACAAAATACATATGAAGTAAATACAATATTATTATAAGCTATCGTCGAAACAAATTATATCAAACTGAAAAAGCATGTCAAAGTATTATTTCGTACAATTCAGTGCATAGGTGAAGAGTGATGAGCCCTCAGAGTCTTCACAGTTATGTGGGATTCCATATTATATACCTAATTCAAATCACGGAAAAAATTAATTATCATTACAATAAATCATACTAGTTATATCAATTATATCAGGTAATGCAAGGTGTATAGCATTATTAAACTACAAGTTATCTGGCGTTGATCTATTGGAATTGAACATTCGAAAAATATTTACTAGTATGCTCTGATACATCTCTTTGTAGCAAATATGTTAGAAATATAATGTTTTAGTAATATTATATACTAAACTAATGTTTTTTTTCGTTTTTATAAAATAAAAGTTGAATTCTTACATCATTTATATCTTATCATGTTCAATCATATGTTACATAATTATTGTTTTAATTTTAGAAAAGAATTTGATTTTAATTAGTTTATATCAAGAAAATTTCTTACATATTCTTAGAGTTTAACTACCAAATTATATGGGACTCCACATAATTACACAACAGTCCCTAAAATCCAATGAGAACGGTGCTGGTTATATTTAAATCTTTATTGAGTTAAATGTATTAAAGATAAGCAAAGAAATATAAATATATAGATATGGAATATATTTGTTAATATAATATAACTAAAAAAAAAAAATATGAAGTCACAAGGAAAAAATACTATATATCCCAACAAATCGAAGAAGCACTGGGAACCGACCTTCAATGAATTACCAACATCATACAATTCATAAAATATATTAAACTATATAACTTAATTTAAGCCTACAATAACATTAAATAAACCTGTATAAACTTATTTTAAGTTAATATTAAACTAATGGTTCTAGAAGCCGATGTTTTACAAAAAGATCAATAAAAAAAAAAAAAAAATATATAACTTAAATTATTACGTTATTAAATAATTGTACAATAACGTATTGTCCTTATTGAAATCACGAGACACGGAACAAAAAAGCATTATATTTGTTGTATAAATAATGTTTTCTAAATAATAAAATAATTTTTCATAATTATACCTAATTCTCCCGGTTCTCCTTCTGGTCCTTGTTGACCGAAAATACCCTTATCTCCTGGGTCTCCAACAATTCCTTTGCAGTCACAAGTAAATGGATTACTGCATCCTCTACATGCCTGTAAAAACCAATAAAATATTTTCTATAAATAATTTCATAAAAAATGACAAGAACCATTTTGTTAGAATTGAAACTTAATCAATATGTACATTATCAAAGTTTATATTAGTATCAATACTTAAATATCCAACATAAATAGAAAATAGTTGGAAATATTTATAAACACTTTGGATCATTTAAAAATGTAAACTCCAGATCATGAAAAAAAGAGATAAATTATAGGATTCAGGTGAGATATTGAGAATCGTTAGTTAAAATTTTAAATCAAAGTACCATTAGATTCAAACAACGAATCTCTGAGCAAAAAAAAGAATAGACATAAAGATTATTCAGGTTGATATCTTATAAAAGATTATACTACTTATATTGGTACCAAATAACTCCAAAATTCGGAATCTTATAAAAAAAATCTATAACCATTAGAATTTTATTAATTTAAAACTATTATTACAAAATGCTTATAATAATAAGACAAGTATTCAATTTGAATGTCATGTTCCTACGAATAAAGTTATTTTATTTAAATAAAAAATTAATTAATGTCGTTCAATAGAAATTTATTAAAATATTTGACTTATTAAAAATTTATATTTTGTTACGCGTATAAAAATATTTTATTTGTTACTATAATAAGAAAAATGTTCTCCTATTTTCAAGTATATAGTATTAAAACTAAAAATTATATGAATTTTTAATTATAACGTTGTTGAAAATGTACATGATTTTGTCAAAATTTGAACAGCTAAATAGTTTTTAAAAAGTTGAATATTCAGCATTTCAAAATAAAACTAAAAATCAACTCATGAGAATTTGTAAATAATATTTTCAATCATAAGTAACAACAATTAAAAACGTATTAATACTATAAAAAATTAAAAATCTAAAAGTAGAACATTTTAAAGCTCTAAAAATGGTCCGAAAAAGTCAATATTTTTTAATATTATAACATTTTAAGGTTAAATCTTACTATAAATATATTTTGATTTTATCGAAAACCGAACATCGATCCCAAAAATGTTGCCAATTTTCTTTTTTTATAATTTTTCGTCAAATTTTTCAGTGGTTTGGAAAACCGTTGAAAATTTAAAAATATTACTTCCTCAATGTACGAAAAAAATGTTAACTTGTACATAATAAACATAATAAAAATAAATACTGTAAATGACCGAAGAAAAATTCTTCTGCTTGATATTATGTCAAATGTCAGAAAAATATTAAAAAAATCATTAATCATGATTAATCATTATTATTACGAGTATTATAATATTTTATATTGAGCCTTGACTATTATTTTAGTCTGTTTTGGAAGATTGCTTTAAAACCTAATTTTTTTTTCTATTTTCGTTATTATACTTATAATTTATACTTAATTTAATTTCTAGGTCCCATTGCATTAAAATAACTCGTGTAGAGATCCAGTGATGTTTACATTTCAATCTAACATTTTAGTATATTTATTAATAAGAATACAATTAAGTTATAATTGTAATGATTATAATATAAATTATAATAAAAATTAGTTTATAAATTAAGAAAATTTTCATTGTTTAAGTTTAGTTGATACAAAATAAAATTTTCAAGGTTTAATATTTTTTCTGACACTCTTTTGCTTATTAATTTAAAAAATAATAAATTAAAAAATGATGAAAATATCAAATTATAATTATGTAAATGATTTGGTGACTGTTCAAATGTATTTCAAATATTCAAATAGTAGAAGGCTTATAATGATTATACAAATAAAATTTAATATTTTGATAGAATAAAAATAAAGTATATTCTTTGATACTATAAATAGATATTACTGAACATTAAAATAAAAGTTTGGCCTTTTTTCAAATTTAAATATTTTTAATAATTATTATATTATAAATAGTAATCAAGACTATAAATTCAGTAAATCAATTTTCTTAGAAATATTGTTCTTAGCACAATTATTTTTAACAATTGATTTTGTTTTTATTTTTATACTATACAATTAAATACTTAATTAAATAATTTTTATTTAGTTTTTGTATCAAATTCAAAATAATGTATATAATTAAGTATACAGACTTAATTAAATACAATGATGGGTAGTAACTTAACGTAAAGTAATCCGTTACTATAATGCCATTACTTTTATAGAAATGCGTTACGCAGAGGCGGATTCAGGGGGAGGAAGACTAGAATTCATCTCCAGGCGTAAAATTTTAGAGGATGTAATGTTTTAAGTACATAATTTATTATTGACTACCAGTTGGATATTTTTACTTAGTAACTGATAACGCGTTTAGAACTCATTAAGTATAATCGTATGCTAATTATTAGGCAAAAATTGTAGGAAACGGTATACGATTTTTGATAGTCTATGATAGAGCGTAATTTTAACATTTTTCCCAGGCGTAAAATTTCCTTGATTCACCTCTGGTGTTACGTGATTTCATTACAATTTTTACTGTGTAACAAAAATGCATTGGAAATTATTTTATATAAGTGATTTCATTAATATAATGCGTTACAAATTGGTATCTACAATCCAACAAACTTTTCATCAAAAATATATTGGTTTCATATTATATTAAAAAATATGTAAATAAAGCATTATGTTGATAAAATTTAATGTTTATACACGGATATTAGAAATAGTATTAGATTTATAATTTCAATAATACTTGAATAAGATATTTTTTCCAAGTAAATACCCTAATATTATGAAATATAAATATTTGAAAACAACACAAACAAACTGTATAAATCCATAAAAAATTCTAGGTATTCTTATAAATAATAATTAATAATAGGTATATAAAAATAACACCAAACACAATTATTTGGTTGTCGTTGACTGCGTCATAACTTACAGTTCATTCCTTCAGATTAACGCATTCAATAACACGCATGTGTTACATTGTATTATTTAGTATTATATTTAACTTATATATAACAAAGGTACCGATTATTGGACAGATAACATGTTAGACCTAAAGCTTTAACTTATATTTAAAATTCATGAATAAAACGTGAATCTGTAATGGAAAAGTAAAATAATATTTGAAATTTGAGTTGAGGCTCTAAGTTAAAGATATATTACTAAAAAATCATTTATAATTATTAAAATTGCAGTACATCATATTTTTAATCGGTATTGAAAAAATGCCAACATTGCATTGAAATCTTTGAACAGGATAGAATATTATGCATCGCTGTATCTCACGGACATCCGGTCCCTAATTTCAAACGATAAGGTTGTACAGTATTTCTTTACCACACCGACTCCACAGAAAGAGATGACAAAAACTGTTGTGAAAAAAAAATGCAATCACTTCCTACGCTTCTAGGATGTCCGGAAGATAATGCAGCTTCAGTTATGTCCTCTTTTTTTTAACGACCCGTGGTAAGTACTTCCGATTGATATACACGTGCCAAGAGTATTTCATTCATAAAAATGATTTATTCATTCAATTAATTATATACTTAACATTTTTGGTAAGATATAATTGAGAAAAAATCATTATTACAAATATATCGAACGTCCATTTTCATAACCCATACATTGTTTAATACAGTATTTTGCGTTTGTTAGACCATATATTTTTAAATGGCTTAAAAGAAGAGAAAGAAAAAAAATTAATTTTTCAAAATTTCATACAACATTTTTGATGATAATAAAATATGAAAAATAGACTTATATGTTCCGAACGTAATAAATTATGTAAGTAAGGTCATCTGCTCTCTGTATATCTCGATTTTAAACATCTTGTTTAACTGTATTAAAATTATCATAAATAAGAAATTTGGTTTTCAATAGTTAGGTACTGTGCTTGATCTAAAAACAATATTGATAAAAAGTTTACAGATGAAAAGTTTTTAGGTTAATAAATAAAGTTATTAATATCAAACACTCTGCAATTCTGATCAGACATTTATTTTTATTTTTAAACACTCAAACTACGAGTAGAACAGTTGAGTTAATGGTCTACGGCCGTCAGTTTGGAACTCGAGTCAATAATGAATTTTTATTAAATTTATTTAAAACTCATAAAATTGGCCATAACTAGGGAACGGATTTTAATTTAAATAAATATTTTTATGTAGTTTTAATATCGGAGAGTTATGACATATATGTACGTTTCATTTCATTTTGAATAAACTCATGCTAATTTTATTTTAAATATTTTTAAATATTTTAGTATCATTAAATATTTATAATATTTTACTAATAAATATACGTAATTTATATTATTGTAGAATTTCCGTTTTTATTTTAGTATTTTACGATGGACGAAAATATATGATTGAATCTGTACAATATTTTATCTAGTAAGTAGGTACAAATTTCAAAAAACTAGCAAAACAATTTAGCACTTATTTCTGCTAATTTTGTATTTTTAATTGATACTATTTCAAAATTAGAAATTTCTAAAATGGCATCAACCGTGAGCCTAGAAATATAGTAGATAATGCCATTAAGCAATTAGAACGCGTTCCTTGAGAAACTGGAGTTTTAACAAACTCTAAATTACAAAACATATTGGAAAAAATCCCAGAAATTATGGCTGTAAAGTCGATAGAGAAAAACTATTAAACAAATATTCAAAAAACAATTAATAAATTGAGTACAGTCCAAAAGAATTAACATGTATGAAATATGCACCCAGTGGCGTATATAGGAATTAATTTCGGGGAGGGTTATGAAAAAATATATAATAAAATAATATGAAGGTTATAAATTAACTTATTTTTAATAACTATGAAAATTAGAATACATAAATTTAATTGCAGGACGAAGTCTAATTTTCGAGGTAGATTTGCAAAATTATTTATCACTTCTTCAGTTATTATTGAAATACTTCGATGAATTGACATGAGATAATCCTGTTAGTCGATTTTCGCTTGTACTGTTTCTCAAGCACGACTTCAATCTTTTCAATATCGAAAACGATCTTTCTGATGACGCTGTTGAGACTGGTAAAGTTACTAATATTGACATTAAACACCATATATTTGGAAAAAAATCAACGGATAGTTTATTCAAAGTATCAATAGCAGATTTGGATTTCTGACAAACCACGGAACATTTGCAATTATTCTGAGGACTTTGTTTTGGACAATTTGCATTTTTTTGATGTGCGAGGATGCACAATTACCCCATACCGGGCAAGCGTAGGTAAGAATTAGGCGTATAATTTGCTTAAAAATTAGGAGAGAGCATTTTTTTCCCATACTAGACAGTTTGGTTTTAATTAATACATAGATTAAAGAAATGCACACGTGGGTCGTACTAACCATAAATTTCGTGGGGGGGGTTGAACCCCCAAACCCCCCCTATATACGCCACTGTATGCACCTGTCACTTTCGTTGATGTGGAGAAGTCATTTATCCGTCATAAAGCAATACTAAGATCGAATCGCCGTAGTTTAAAATATGAAAATTTCAAATTATATGTCGTTTCTAATTGTTTCTCCCATGAAGAAAATTCGGATGATTCAGAATAAACATTTTTATTTTTGTATTATATATTATTTATAAATTATAGTGAATTATATCTTATTTTAAATTTCAATATTCCAATATTATAAATAAATATATATGAAGTAATAAACAAATATATATTTAAATATTTTTAATTTTTTACTAAATTTAAATCCGTCATAAAATATATCAAATTAATTTTCTTAAGCTCCAATGTATGCGTCAATTAATATTTTTAATTTAAGTTCATTTCTTATAAGTGTGTATTTCCACCCTTAATAATTAGCTTGTATTGGTACCGAAACATGTTTTTTCTTCTCGTAAACAAAATTAAAATATCATACGATTTATTAATTGAATTTTAAAAAATAAATTTATTAAATGAACAAATTACTTAGAAAAATATCTTGACAAAAATGAAAAAGTTGTTATTAGATAATTTAGTGTATAGCGATATTTTCAGGTAATATATTTTTATAATCTAAAATTAACATAATATATATTTTCATGACCCTATTGAGTAAAACTTAATTTAACCTTCACATTTGGACTGATTATATATTTATTTCAGAACTGCATCAATATGATACCATTTTTGATAGCATTTTTACCTTTTACAAAATTTATACATTTATATTAAAACATAAAAAATCTTATTTTAAAAAATCCTGTGGTGATTAAAATACCGATATATAATTTTTACAAGTATCATAAATCACGTAGTTGCAGGTGTTCTTAATTACTCAAAATTTCGATTAGTCATTTCGAAATTTATAAATATTTTGGTACCATAACTTTCCAAGTACAATATAATGTATTTTTAAATTATTCCGTTAAGTAGATAATTATTTAGTTGGTCGTCGTTAAAAGAAATTATATTAAAATTAAAATTTTATTCAACATATATATATATATATATATATATACACTGATAAACTATTTTAGAATTTGTTGATAGCTATTTTTTTTTCATTTATTTTATGAATTACATTAAATTAATATTTTAAAACAGTGGTTTCTATACTAAAATACTTAAGGGCAATTAAGGATATTTGTACTAATAGTACATTAATAAGTAATACATTAATAAGGATACTTAAAAAGGGAAATGAAAATGGGAGATAAAGTATAAAATCTCAAAACACTAAAATTCTTTGTCTTGCATATATTGTATTTCATTATTATTTTCGGCATATCATGACTTTGTAATAAAAAATACTTTGAACCTTTACTGAATATATTTTTTTACTTATTTAATATTTATTTATGGTACATAATTTATACTTGTTATTTATTTTATCTTGATATCTCTGATTTCGATTAATTTTTGATAATTTAGGTCACACAAACGATGCTTGATGATGAAAACTACTCTAATTATGACCAATTAGTGTTGGGAATAAGTATAATCCTTTATCAATCATAACTAAAAAAAAAAAAAAATAATGAACACAATGGAGGTGTGTTATTTCATGTATAACCATTGAGTTATATATTGCAAAATAATCGATTCGATAAACCTTGATTAATCATTAGTGCATCTAATCGGTTGCATGTATATTAGAATATTTTACATTTAATATATTTAATATCTTAATACTAATATTGGATAGTACAAATATCATATTTGGATCAATTAAAATTTATAAAAAAAATATACGTTAACGAAAAAATAATTTTAATTTGTTTGATCTTAGCATTCAATACTTAATTAAAATATTAATTAAATTACTTAATACAACATCACGTTTATTCCCTTGAAGCTTAAAAAAAAAATATATTTGTAACTACTTCAGATATAACTACGAGTATTTAACTGTACTTTGTTCCGTTTGAACCATATAGAGAATGGTCAATAACTAAATAATTTTCCTTTAAAATTAACTATAAATTATAAACTTCAAAAAATATTTATAATTTTTAAGCAACTTTTATTCTACAAAATAAATGATATGAGAAATACTTCAGTTTTAATTAAATATATAAGATTGATGTTATAAATGAAAAATAACTTTACTAAATGTTTATAAACTTACAAAATGTATACAATTCTTGTAAAATTGAAATATTTTAAAAACTATTAAGATTCAAAACGTATTTATTCTATTTATTTTGAAGTATCATATTATAAATATTTTATATATTCCTTATATCATTATTTGTATTATATAGTGTTGTTTTTTGTACCTGGCATACAATTTAAATATCATTATGGGTGATTACTGTTAATAGTTTAGTTACATTATACGAATTTAGGTATCAATTTAATGGACTATAAGTTCATTGATATCAATATCTATTTATACCTTATAAATATAAATATTTTCAAGTGTAAGTTATTAATGATATTATAATATTACAATATGTAAAGTATTGATTATGAATTATAAAGTTTATTTTGATACAGCGTTAAGATATAAATTGTAAAAACTTAAGCGAGTATAATTGGTTAAATATTAAATTGTTTTATTTCGAAAATAGCTGACCACTCGTGATTGACTATTGATATGGCATTGTAGAACTATCAAGATTTATTTTTTTAACAGCCGTATCTGTAACGAAAAACAGTTTTCAAAATCTATACTATCATGAAATATATTTACTGTATTTTGTTATGACAGATAAATATTCATAAACGAACACTTACAATGTAAATAAGTTAATTATTCTATTTAATACTGGCTACTATATATACACTAAATTTAAAATTTTTATTATAAAATCTAAGTAAAATATGAATTAAACTTGTTTAATAAAAATAGTTTCTAAATTAAGTAATATAAATTAAATTAACACTTTTAAGTTGAGCATACAAAGTAATATAAAATATGTAAAAATTATTCGATTTTACGAATAAGTAAGTTAGTCATAATAACTCTTAATAATTTATTATAATGAGTTATTCAATGTAAATAATAATACAACAATATATATTTGATCGTCTTAATATATTTTTTGAAAAAAAAAACTGAAATTTTAAACTGACGATAATTGAACACGCTTTTAATAATATGATATATGGAACTAATATGAAACGATACAAATGTTCTTGATAAACAATTCGAATAAGACGTAATAAACATGGTTATATGTAAAATAATATTGCATAACTTTACCTAACAACATAGGTCAACATAGAACTATATCGACACGTGTTTAGAGATCTGAATATTTATAAAATGGCCTTTAAAATAGGCCAATTAATAGTTTAATGATTTCGAGTTTCCTGTAAATTCATATCAGGGAAGAGATAACTACAGCTTCTAATGTCGTTTAAAAACATTTACTTTATTAATTATGATAATTATTGTAAAAGATACTAATACAAAAGATAATAAAATAAATCAAGGATTTTATAAAATACGAGTAGACATACTTGAATAATATTATTGTGATGTATCTTTAATTCATTATTTTATAAAATACCTTATACTTTTTAAAATTATAAATTCAAAAATAAACCATGAAATGAAATTGAAATGTAGATTACATTTTTTTTTATCGATATACTTTAAATTGTTTTGGTAACATATATATAATATTATTATTTACACCAGTTATATAAATATCTTAAAAATTATAACATTTTTTTATAAGTATTAAATTTATGAAATGCGTTGTTTTTCAATTTTTATTTTAAATAGTTATATGCAATCATTCAAATAACTAATATAAAAGTAAAATTATACTATAAAATGTAATATGATAAATAATGTTATTTTCAATTCTAATAAAAAATGTTTGTGATAAAAAAAAAAAAATAAGGATGAAATAATTATTTTGATACCATAATATGTTAGTAAACATTTTAGTTATACTATTACATTAAGTATAAAGTAAATACAAAGTAAACAATATCAGTATACCTACATATAGTTTTAATTTGTAAATTATGTCACTTTTTAATTTCATGGTTATTTGGATTTATTCCAGTATCATTTGTACTTTTGAATATTTCGATTTAAAATAAATTATAATTAATAGTTATTTATACCACATTATCTTATGTTTCTATAATTACTTCTTGATTCATCGATAGACACAAAAAAAAAAAAAATTATAATAATAATGTTATGTGTGGGAAATAAAACGTTTAAATTGATTGTTTATTTAATATAAGTAAGTAATATGAGTAAGGTAAAATTAATTTATTATCACTTATAAATTCATCGTATAATGTTTGTGAAAGATAATCTCCATTCTATCAAATATATAAATGAAAATATTAGACTCATATAAAAAATAAATATTTTAACTGTGATACATGCGTAAAATCAATGTATAGTAATATATATATAGTTTTACAATTTTATTTATATTTTAAAAAATGATTAATCACTGTGTAACGTCATTTGATTTTAGTAAAAATTGCTCAATTTTTATATTTTCCATTTATAGTAATTTTATTAAAAATAAAATAAAAAACAAAAAGAAAAGCGAAAGTAGCCAAAATAATAATTTGAAAATAATTTTAAAATTTAAAATCTAATGTATGGTTTGCAATAGTTCCATCAGTTTGCATTAGTCATTGCGTTAAATCGTGTTACAGCTTTCACACAATATACTTTTTTCATCGACATTTATGGCTAAAATATTAGTGTTTTATTTATTTATGCATAAACTGTTATGATGTTTTACAACAATATTAATGACGTTACAATTACCGCATTGAATAATGTTATTAATAATAAAAATTTGCATAGAGATTAACTTAATGCAAGTTTTATCTATTTTATATATCGAACTATTTAATTTTATAAAGACATAATACTTATTATAATAAGAACATTTAAAACTGTGTAATTTATTTACTTTAATATTCAATGAACTTAGTTGGATGCAAAATAAAATATAATTACAATTTATTGGTCAAAAGTTTTAATAATTATAAAATATAAAAACAATTTTGCAAGTTAACTCTGATAACCACTATATTACATATCATATATGAGACTTACGTATATTAAGCTACGTGTTAAAGTGATAAGATAACAAATAAGTTCTTTACGAATCGAATAAAAAAGCAGAATCGATCATACATAATATACGTAAATATATTAAATTATGCACGTGTTTAACGTTAACGTTTAAAATAAGATAATGAGAAGTTCATTAATTATTATGTATTTTTTATCGATAGTAGCACACAGGAAACAAATAGTTTTACTGATTATTTTATCCGTGTAGTCATTCATTATTTAAACTTTGTTATAATTATATATATATATATATTATATACTCGTATATATCGTTTTTTAGTTATCCGAAGCACAACTGCACTGCGAATTGATAACGTAATATTAACAATCACTATATTTAATTAGGCCGACAAATATAACTAAATTGACCGGATGATGGACTTCCAGTTTTTTCAACAATAATACGACGTTCCACGATAGTTAATACTTAATTATCATCATAAAACATATATACATTATTATACATATTATATCAGTATTAGACATATAGGATTCGTATTAATATTCAATGATGGTCATGAGAACAAATATACTCCATCTTGAATTATAATATTATAATATAATGGCAGTTAAAAAATGCTACGATAGGACTATAGTAAAAATAAAAAAGTAAATTAAAGTTTTGTATTTAGTATAAAGCTTGTATTTTATTATTATGATGAATATTGTTATAACGCTAATTTAATAGAAGTACCTATGTTCGGAACTCAAATTTTTACATTGCTCAATGACACTATAAATCAACATCTAGACACAGGATCCGGGAACAAGTTTAATACTCTAAATTAATTAAAACAATATATATATATATATATATAAGTCAAAATTTTCATTTTTTGACGAAACATAAATTATACCTATATGTATACTGTATCTTATTTTGTATGATGAATTAATTACTACAATTTTCAAAAATATATACTCTCATCAAATCAATATTTTCTCACTAGATGGAGAGTAGTTATAAAATACAGAAATCGATGAATTCATTTATATTAATTAGTTTCGTATTAATTAACTAGGAACTAATACCAAAATTATTTATATACAGATAAATAACACGGTAATAATTTTAATATACGATCAAATAATTTCTAAGTAATGAAAATTAATAATAATTTTAAGGAATTATGTATTTTATGATGAAGGTATCAACGTTTCAACTTATCGCTCAATGAACCTAAATTCAATTGTTAGAAGTGCATAAACATAATCGCATTCAACCTAACAATAACTGATTTTTTTATATTATTGAAAAAATTAAGTTTATAATACTACAGATACTTCAAAAACAAGTTATATGAACTATAAATAGCAGTTATAATATATTATACATTCATTAATTCAACTACACAATTTTGTTTAACTTTTATATACAGAGTACCTCATAAAGATATACTTATCTTTAACATTTTTGTAGGACAGTTGGTAAGCATGAAAAAATGTATTTAATTAAAACAAGTTGTAAGTAGTTTGTATAAATGATATAAATTGTCATAAAATAGTGTAAATTTGCAATTTATTTTTAATAAAATCTGTTGTTTTTCAATCCATTAAAGTGAGATGTATAAGACTAATGTGGTGCCAAAAACTATCTACCGAGATTTAAAATTTAAATATTCGGTATTCTTTAGATTATTGAAAATTGATAATTTTTCTGTTAGAAATATATAACTTTAAAAAATTAGAAATTTCATTTTTTATCTTACACTTGACAGAAATACTTATGGAAATTTAATAATATGGTACTTACATTTATCCATTTATCATATACATAATAGCCTATAGAGGTCTAAATTCTAACTACTTAATCATTTTAATATAATTTTTATAATTGTAATGTAAAATGAAGTTCCAATATTTAATTTATGGAAACGTAATTTTATAGAAGCAAAAAAAATAACATAATTATTTAGATTAGTTGAAAACTAAACCAATACAATAATGTTTTAAATATACACTTCAACTATATTTTAATATAGAGATATTTTTTGAACTAACAGTAAATTCTTAAGCAATATATGAAATTTTAAATTTTAAATAACATAAAATGTTAAATTAAATTAAACTGCCAGCTTTCTCTTAAATTTAAAGTCAAGATTTTAATTGGTCTGTATTTATTTTTGCACTGATCAAGTGATATGAGTAGAACAATTTTACAACTTTAGAAGTATCAAGGATCAATTTCTAATTTATTCTTAAATATTTCAAATAAAAAAAATGGATTATAATAATTTGATTATTATAATACTTAGCGTTAAATTGTCCATGAAATCAATACTTCAACTTCACAACTTCCTGTTATTTTACAAATATTTAGTTGTCCTTTATATTATTTCATAGATAATAATATTTACTCATTAATCACATATTTATAACAGAACCACTTTAACTCAAAATTTGTTTCGATGAATTATATGTTTTCTTGTGGATTATTTTCATGTATTTATACACATACTGTTTTAAACATAATAATAAAATATAATATATTTCTGTATATTATTCAGATTTACGTCGGTATTTCGTAATTTTATTTTAAATTTGTGTGTTTGTGACATACATAGTTTGACCATATTATATAATCTAATTTTTTATTAATAAAATAAGCATGGTTTTGAGAAAGAAAAAAATGTAATATACGTGTATTAATCTATACCGGTATAGTTTAAAATTAATTTTCTGAATATTATTTACGATTCATATTTCTCTCATCATTGCACCAATCAGAATTATATGCACCCAAATCTGGTATATGCTCAACAAACCAAATTTAGTATTCTATCATTGTACAAGATTTAATTTTAAATCGTATGGCATTGATGTTTTTGTATCTTTTTTGTAAAAACATAAATCTCATCGTTCTAATGAAAACGAGTTATATGGATATTATAGCAACACTACGAAATTCTGTTAGTACATAATGTTCATTATTGTGATTATAACGTATTATTTTAACTTAAGCTACACATCATAATATTTAAATTCAGCAAACTGTGCATATGTTTTGTCGTACAATTGTATACGTATTGATGTTAGAAATGAAGAACGATTGAAAATTAATTTGATTGAAAGCATGTCACAAATTTGTTTTCGAAACCAGAAACAAATGGATTTACACAAGACGATTGGTCTGTGACATACACAGATTTATCAACGGTACGTACCAATACCAATATATTAATTAAAATTGTACAAAGGGGAGGGTTTATTAAAAAATATTTAGTGAAATTTGTACGAATAAAAATTTCAGCTTGTTATCTTATTTGGTATATTATACACAAAATGTGTATATTTCGAATAAAAATAAATAATTAATAACATTATACATTTATTCTAAAACTCACTAATATACGTGTTTGACAAGGAGATTTCGCCTTGCGGATTTGACAGGTGTGCTAGGGCACACTCAAAATATTTTGAATAAGAACCTACAATTTAGGTCTAAGGGTTTGGGGCTTGTATTTCAACTAATCTTGCTTAAATGAAATGTAATTTATTCTAAAATATTTGGCGAAGAAACATTTAAATGATGTTTCGTAATAGAAAAATCAAAATAAATGTTTGTATAAAAACTTTTCATGATATTATAAAGGCTAAAATCGTCTACAAAGGTTCAAATCATAATTGATTAAAGCTATCGGAGAAAAATATACGAGATTCAAGGAAAATAAATTCATTGTCGCTAATATACCGCAATATTAAATACACGATTAAACTTATGTTTGTTTAATTATTTATACATTATAATTTATCAAACATATCTACACGTTTCGTTAAGATTGAGCCCAAAAGTAATTGCAAGGACCTTCAGATACACAGGTTTGCGCGCACCTATGTTCGAAACCAATCGTTTCCATTATTGTGTCGGTCCAAGTATATTTGTACTCCCCGAGCAAGACAATGGCGTTCTAAAGTACGCATTGCGTCCGCGTTAGAATCCTTCGAAAGATAAACGTGCGATACGATGCTTAGGGAGAATCAAATGCGGTTAAAACGACTAATCAATAATAATAATAATAATAATAATAATAATTTTGCAAAGTAAGCGATGGTT